AATTTTTGTCCAGTTGCCATGTGACGTGAGTCCTTCCGACGTTGCTTGTGAAGCTTAAACAGGTCGAGCGGACCATGTATACATCTATTGTGCACTCCGTCTGCGCTAGTTGAATAATTAATAATGACCTTGACTCCATCTGCCTACCACGTACGATGTTCGAGAAGGTATCTCGTGCACCAGCAGTCACATCAATAACATGCGGTTCTTGTCTTTCCTTCTTCACGGTCTGGCGTGACCAACTATGTACCCTGGATGCCTTTGCGATATGGTAGTGGATGGCACAATGCCCCCAACACAAAAAATCTAGTAGGTCGCACACGGACACAGGGCCACACCACATGCCCATGCCCAAGCAGCGGCACCCAAAAGGGGCGATGTTTACAATGCGACGCACGGTGCCGGCAATCAACTAAATACCCAACTCACCGGGACCAACGCTGTGACCCGCACACTCTTCAAGTGGACATACTCCTTGCCGCACTTGGGGCATACCGCCTCGAGACTCGCAATCTCGGCGTCCGCCTCCATTTTGCCACGCTCTCCATCTTCCGACAGGGCTGCAAGGACGTGGACCGGGTATTTGATGCTGCCGAACATCCTAAGCAGCTGTTCTACCATTGCTACAAACCCCGGCGCATTACGCTTGTACTCCGCCGCCCCTGATCCGATGCCCTCATCGCCTGAATCTTCGTCGCTCCCGCCGTCTAAGTTGAGGGGGGAGCTGCTTCCACAATCACTGCCCATGACACCCAACCCAACGATATGCGTATGCACGCATTTGCCGCTAGAGCCTTTCTTGGACGAGGTGCACCCCGTCCCCCCATTCGCCTATGATCATAGCCAAGTGACGGGCGCCAGGGGGTAGATAGTTGGTGGGACACAGGTTTGTTGCGTGAAAACAGTTAATGCTACGTGCTATGATGCACACCATCTTGAAAGCACCGAAAGTATCATTCGCTGCTACTTTGCCTTTCCGACCAGCTATCCTCAGGGGAAAATACTGTATGTCAGGTAAACCACGATATTTACCATCCGAGCTAGACAACACAGGCACCGATATTGCTGGCGTGGTTTGCACGACGAATTTCAAGGTTGGGGCGGGAAAACATACACAGCAGAAGCGCTCTACATACATTCAATACTCTAGAGCTCCGAATAAAAAATAGTCATGCATCGGCAGTAGTAGACTATCACCTTGCACTGGATCTGCTTCCTTTCAGTGGTCCGCCTTCTCGTGGATGGCGCTTTCTTCGACCCGGGTGGTTGCGGGAAATCCGTCTCGACGTGTGCCCAGCTGCCAGGAATAGACCGATGACCCGGATGGTACACAACATACGTGCTGAGTCTCGCCTAAGCGCATCAACAGCGGCACCCCATGCTCCTCTGCAGTCGCTGCCATCCTTAGAATAGTGTCAAAGCTACCCTGAGTCAAAATCATCTGGGTTATCGCTGCATCCCCAACGCTTTCGATCCCTTCCCCATCCTTGCCAAAGACAACCGGCTCTGCTTCAGGAATATCCGCCTTCGGAGTGGTCCCATTTCCGAGAATGACGTCAGCGTGCTCACATTGGCCCGCTGCAACCTGCTCGGCGTTTGGCGCGTGCTCGGGTTCCGCTTGCACACTGCAAAACCAAACAAAAGCAACCGTGAAAGTGACAGTGCATCGTCAGAAAAATATATATATGCCGATTAATTTCTGATAAATTTAGCGAGCAGCAACTGTCGAAAAATAAAATGAGAATGCAGAAACGGCCGGGCCCCTACCTGTGCCCCTGCAAATGTCTTTCTTTTCCAAACGAGTTATACAAGCGTTGGGTTGCAACAATAACGTGTAGTTTCGATCGGAGGTTTGCCGGTGAGAAGGAAGAGTATCGAACACCACACAAGCACTGTTGTTTCGTGACATCCCCCAACTACTACATCGACTCACTTGTGGCATCGGTTATCGCAGCAGTTCACGATGCAGCTTGCAGGCGCACCAGGTTGCTCGGCGGTGACGTCGGTGATGACCATGACACGGTCGCCGCGGGCGGTAGTGGAGACCGAAAACAGTGCCTTTTGTCTAATCTCTAGAGTTGCGCGCCGCCACCGTGAGAGGCAGACGGAGCTTGAAAGCGCTGGTTCGAGCCTGGCGGTGAACCACTCGGGACACGCTACTCCCGTGGATGTGGCCGGCTTGAGCTCGTTGGGATGCCGCTCGCTTATCAGCTTTGTTCTTCTTGCACCTGTATGAGTACGAAGCATGTGATGGTGGGAAGAATAGAGGGGGGGGAAATGAGTATACGTACAGCACGCACGCTGAGAGCAGGTCGTATTGTGGACGCTCCGGTCTTGTTCGCACTGCGAGAGGGTGAAGACCTAACAAACACCGATGGTCAAGCAACCAGAAAAGTTGGAGTCGATACAGATCACCAGCAACATTCCCGGAGCAACTAGGTGAAAACAGGTGACAGCCTACCAGGCTGCGCGAGCGCTGTGGAAGTCAAGATATTGTTGCATATTCCTCTCAAACAAACCACATGGGTGGCATCGAATCGGGTGACACCCACGTGTGCGAGAAGCATCCGAGAACTCGATTTGGCACATCACTCTTGGTCACATAATTTAAGAGAATTGCAATTGAGCAAAGAAACTGAACAGCGGAAAACGATATTGGGTACTCACGCGTGACACAGACATGCCGACTTCGTCTTCGTATCGCAGAAGCAGCAAATGAAGCGATCCTTGGTAAGGTCGATCAGCCCATGGTCGACGTGGCAATGCCATCGTTTGAGACACCCACGACAAATCGAAGTAACTGTCTTGCTTTTCGAACAGCACCAGCTGCGCTTCGCCAACGTAGCATTAGCAGGCACGACGACAGGGACGGGCTTTCCGCTGGAGGCATCCTTTGCCTCCCCCCCCCCCTCCTCGTCTTCCTCCTCATGACCGCCTGTCCCTGAGCCATGCGGTGCGCCATGCTGCAAAACCAGATGTAAATCATGGCCGTTCAGGGCGTCACCGACGATGCCACCTGCCGTCCTCTGCTGCACAGGCAACGGCAGCGGCGGAAGTGGCTGACGTACCCGTCTATCCCGCTGCGGCTGAAACACCGCCCCGCCAGCTGCGCCCTGCTGCGCCATCAAAAGCCGTGGCGGCGGCCGGGGCGGCGGCCATACCCCTCCAAAGCAACCGGCGGCTGACAGCTGTTGCTGTTGCTGCTGTTGCTGCTGCTGCTGCTGCTGCTGCTGCTGCTGCTGCGGTCGCCACGGCACTTCGTTGGCTAGGCGCTGCCATGGTGGCAACATTGCTCCAAGTTGGCGTGAGCGTTCATAGTTTAGCTGCGCTACTCCCTCTACCTCCGAATGTAGTAGTGGTGCACTCGGCCCGTGCGTACCGGTAGAGCAGTATCCCGGTCCCGTATGTACCCCAATGGCAGACGACAGGGGCGTATGTGGTTCCGCGAATTCGAAACCATCACCTGATAGCTCCCCTGGCGTCCCCAAGGCCTCCGATGCTTGGGACATCTGCACAGCTGTAGCAAGGAACGAGTGCAGCACCCTGCCGCGACGTTCACCGGCCCCGAAGCCCTCGCATGAATTTCTTGCATCTCGTCCCAAACTCCGCCGGGATGATGGGCTTTGCGACGCGTGGCGTTTCGCTGGTGGTGATTCACGTCCACTCACACTTCTGCGAGCCGCTCCGATAGCCGCAGGAGTGTCGCAAGGAAATGTGTTCGCGACGGTGGCTACACCGCCAGGCGCGCCGCTGACCGACAGATGGGAATTGCCCGACGGCTCGCTACCGGAAGAGGTCGCTGTCCGTTCTCGAGGAGGGTTTTGCTGCAAGAAGTTGGAACTCTCTCCAGTGTTCGCGCATGGGGCTGCGGGCAAGGGGTGCGGCAACGGCTTGTGCTGGCGACCAGCCGCACCATCCACGCAGTCATCCGCGCCTGCATCATGATCAGCATCATGATGCGCGCCGCCAGCAGAGCGCGTGCTCGGCAGCATGCCGCTCACCTCCTTGCATCAACGACTGACCGCTGCTGTGGTGGCCAACGGTGGAAGCCACGCTATGCAATGCTCTCTCTAGAGGCTACGTGTCGATAAGGTAGCACGGCCGCCCTGTCCGTCCTTCACAGCACGCGCACCTCGTGCGCGGCGTGCGGAGAAATGTAGCTACAGCCCCGGGGTTTCCCCACCCCAGGAGAGCTTTGTGAATAGAACCAAAAAGAGGTTCACCGAGGGAGCGCGCGCACGCGCATCTCCAACCAATGAGGAGACAGTAAATTTAGAAGTAAAGATCCCTTCGCACGGATGGTAAAATGTACTGGCTGGAGAGCAGCCTGAAAAAAAACGCGGCGCGATTTCGGCAGGGAAGGTCTCGAACGTTCGCCGACCCGAACCGTCACCTCCCCCGCCCTTTCCCTACTCGGCTCTCCTGCTCTCTCTATCTCTCTCTCGCTTGCCCTTATTCGTCCCTCTCTCTCGCTCTTGTGTTTGATCAAGCCGGAGAATCGAGCAGTGTACGGTTAGGAGGCTAGTGCTGGAATCGGAAACAATTTGCTGGGCGTGCGGGTGTGACTGTGCTCTGCGTTGTTGTAAGCATCTCTGTTCGAGGTGGTGAGCAATCTCTGTGCAGAACCAACAGCAAGCCATGTTGCAGGGGAGGCGAGCGCTTGTTGTCGGCGTGGCTAACGCGCGTTCTATAGCCTGGGGGATTGCGGATCGTTGGAGGCAAGAAGGGGCAGAGGTCTTCGTCACCTATCAGGTGATTGCTTGCGATGGATGTATTTGCTTCTTGTGCGATCCCCACAGGCAACAAACAACGGCTCAAATTGGTGCACATGAAACACGATCGCCGGTAACGTAGACTATGTAGGTATGTACAGCAGGACATGACGCCGTACGTGTAGCAGCGGGAGCAGCAGCATCAAGAGTAGTAGCAGTCTATGCATGGTGGTATTGACAGGCCGTCGTATTGGTTTCTCGTCCCACGCTGCATCATCCACCGTTGCGATACTGTAGAACATACATCAATCAATCAATCCGTTTCGTTCACCAGCCTGCTGTTTGCGGTTACAGAGTGAGCGGTTTCGCAAGCCCGTGGAGAAGCTCGTGGCAGACAGCTGGGGGCCTTTCGACACAGCAGGCAATGCCATACCCGCAGCGGCGTGCGACGTGACCAGCGTAAGTCTGACGTACAACGGATACTCATGGCACTTGAGTACCGAGCACCAGACAAATATCATCCCCGATTGTATCTCGCGTGTGTTGTCTCGACTTTAGATGATGTATGTGAGTAGTTCGCATAGGCCCAAATAGCGACGGAACTGGGTATTTTCAACCCCGCCCCACTCTTCTGCTAGAAAATGTCTTCAGAAACTATATTAGACATTTGTCTCTAGATATTGGTTGGATCTTTGCGCACTGGTCTCGCGGGGCCCTCAGTCGATGCTTGCTTGAAATGTATCTATCGCCCACGAGCGCACACACTTGAGACCGGAAGACGTGTTGGCGTTTATTTTCTCGCTGTTAGCCCGTCGCGTATTTTCTTTGATCAGCCGGTTAGCGCCGCGATTCCATGTGGTAAGGGACACGGCACACACGAAACGTTTGCATCGGTGCATTACGCATTCAGGATGGTAACCCAAGGAGAAGCAATCATCTTACCCCGGCTTTTCCACGGTACATTGCACATACTTCAGTTCGACGAAGGCCAGTGTGTTGCCCTTGGTTACAAGTCGGGGAAGAGGCGATGTGTCCCCCCCCCCCGCTTGATACAGAGCCACCCCTCCTGCTCCCCACCTGTGTTCCAGGAAGAGGACATGGCAGCGCTTTGGCGAACACTGCAGGACAGGGGTTTCTGCTACAGCAGCCCCTCCTCGCCCCTGGAGGGGGGCAGGTGTTCCAAGGCAACGGATGAGGGAACCGAGGCGGCCCCACGGGCAGCGCCGGAAGCGAGGAGTCGGGGAGGGGGCGGCGTCGGGGCATCGGCAGCATCGGGAGCGAAGACTGGTGCGGCAGAGCAAGCTCCGGGAGGGTCTGCTACCACTAGCAATAGCGGCAGCAGGGGGGCCGAGGGGGAGGGGCAGGGCAGCGGCCTGAGGTTACAACGGCAAGGGTTGCCGGTAGGGAGCGGGGTTGCGGCGCCGAGGAAAACGGTCGACATCGTTCTTCACTCCGTCGCTCATGCCCCTACGGACGCCATGCGGCAAGGGTTTCTCATGGTGAGGAAGCGTTTTCGTGGCTGGAGAGGGGGACCGAGAAGAGCGAATGGCAGGTGGTGTTGCCTCTTCTTTGGATCATTCGTGTGGTGATATGCTGTTGTCTGTCGTAAAAGTCGCTATGCTGATGTGCTGTGGCCCCGTTCTCGGCGTCGCACCGCTGCGTGGTAGTCGTGAAAGCAGAGTAGACATTTATTTTTCTACCTGCTGTTTCCACGGTCTTCTAGTGTTGATGGCCGGCGCACATCTTCGACCACATGGAAGTTGTTTTTCGTGTTTGTGGTGAACGGCGAAGGTTGCAGGGTGGTTGCGCGCCGACAACGATGCGCTGCCCTGCTGGGCACCGATGGAAGCTACTCACTCGTACGTACGCTGTAGTGGATACAGGCGTCTGTAGCGGGCACCGGCAACGGCCTTCGATGGCTATTCCTTGCATTTTGTAGATCATTTGTGCTCTCGACATAAAAGTGTTTTTTTGTGCAGGTGTGTTCGTTCACGCGTCGGGGCCTGCGACGAGCTTTGCTATTAGAGCGAAACGCGCTTTTTGCAGTATCCCGGAACGAGGAAACAGCCCCATGAGGAGATTTCAATCCCCTCCCCTGCCCTCAAGAGTAGTTTCATACTGGATTTTCCACACATGATAACACCCCCGGCGAAATCATTCCTGGAGGTTAACCCCTTTGGGTCTAGCTCTTTCTTTTTTGCGGCAAAAAAAAAGCAGAAAGGAGGAAAGAGTGCGGGGAGAGAGGCAGAAGTACAGCAGAAAGAGACGAGTGTACTTCTGTAGACGCAAAAGCTATCTCCACCCATAGGCCATGAGGGCTGCCCGCGACAGGACGGTGGGCACGGACAGGGTCATAGAAGGGTTGATGCGTGGTCGCGGTGCGGCCGCTAGGGCAGGTTAGGCTTGTAGACCTCGACAAGATAAATTCTCAAGCCACCCAAACTACTATATTCAAATGATCAGTGAAAATGATCTGTGAGAGGGCTTGCTGGTTCTTGTACTTCTATACTTCTCTGTCCCCTCCCCGATGTGAGCCCTGCCGGCTCACTACAGCTCCTGTGATTTTCCCACAATTCCCACAAGCACGCAAGCACACCAGCACACACCTACCTTTGCATCAGTGGCTCTCTAGGTTCGGGCGAGGGTATGTGTGGGGCTATGATGATAGTGTATGTGTTACTACAGTACTGCTGTATGTTGGACTCGTCTACATATACTGCTGCTGCTGTGTAGTATAGCTGCTGACATTGTGACTGCTGGATCTTGGGAGTGTACGATTTTCAAATTTAGAGGATATGCAGCATACCACGATATCCTGGCCTGGTTGGGCTTGAAGTGCTCCTTTTTGCTGTCCTCCTGTCTTTGGGTTGCTCGCTAGATTCGGGCGAAGGCATGTGTGTATGTGGAGTTATTGATGTGTGTCTCTGTGAAAGGATATGGGGAGAGATTCATGGTGGCATTCTCATTTAGAGCAGTGTGCATTTTTCGAATTTTGGCCGTTCCAGGGACCTTGATATACCCGCTGGCACTGACGTCTTTTTATTGGTCACCGGGTACGCGGTCGATGCGAATAATATAGACACACCTACCTATTGACTTGTCAACACCTGGCGTAGAGGGATACAGGGCGGCAACTCCATGGCATGTCACAACACCAGCATATACAAATGATCAATCAATGATCTGTCAGGACGCCTGTAGACCCACAAGGGTTAACAGCATTATCACCGGGTGTGGTGTTTTTTGGTAAAGGGGTATCATCTTGCGTGGAATTTCGTGATATGCAACAATCACGCACCGTCGTTTTTTGTTTTGCTGCTACAGCAGCTGCAACGTTCGCGTGAAGAGAGACCAAGTCAACCTTGATGCCCCTAAATCCAAACACCCTGCGACGCCGCAGGGAACCACGAGAGAGGCATTCGTGTCCGCACACGTAGTCTCCGCGTACAGCCTGGTGTCCTCGGTTCGACACGCGCTGCCCTTCCTCTCCCCCGGCGCCAGCGTGGTCGCTCTGACTTACATCGGTTCGCAGAGGGTGAGTCTCTCAACAGGGTAAACACATATTTGGTTCCCGTTAAAGGCCGACACATTTTGGAGACGGATGCGGGACATGCGGTGTTTCCATCCTTGTCTTGTTTTTTCCCGTAGTTTTTTGCTGTGCAGTTCCGGGGAACGGTCCGGGAACCACAACGAGGTCGACTCGTCGTCTCTGGATCGCTGGGAGGTTTTTGGGACTAGGCCGGATGGTAACCCACCGAGATTCAGGGGTCGGGCGATGATTTGGGACCGTCCTTCGTGGGTTTCCTCTTTGCCTCGCTTCGCCGGTTTTCATGGGTCCGACGGGGCAATTTGTTTCCCATCACTTCGGTTGAGCTGACTTACGAACCATCCCCCCCTCCCCCCAGATATATGGGCACACGTTGGACGGGGGGACGCGGGGAGACAGTGGGGGGGGCGGGGAACTACCCCAACCGCCGCTGTCCCCTTCATGTGTTGGCCTCGAGCGAGTTCACGCATCGGGGCCAGCTTTCCTTTTCTCTAAAAAGCTGCGCGTTCGAATACAAGAACCACACCCCCTCAAAGCAATTGTTTCTATATTCCCGCCTCATTCCGGTCGAGAGCGACAGACTAGTTCCGCACCAAAGAGGTGGGAATTCCTCGAACCTCGCGCAACGATCGACCATATTGTGGGCTTCGTCCTTCCATTGGAAATCTTTCTCAAACAACTGGTAAAAAAATACCTCCATCATGGTATCATACCAGGCGGCCGCAAACTACAACGTGATGGGACCCGCCAAGGCCTCCCTGGAGAGCTGCGCGCGCGCCCTCGCCGCGGAGCTAGGGGGGGACACGACCAGCCAGGGGCCCGGGGGGGTACGAGTGAATTGCCTCAGTCCCGGCCCGGTGCGGACCATGGCGGCCCGCGGGATCGCGGGTTTCGACCAGATGAGGCGGGAGGCCGCCGGGAGAGCGCCGCTGGGGCGGGCCGCCGAGATCGACGAGATCGCGGCGGCGGCGACTTTTCTGGCGTCGCCCTTGTCGTCGGCGGTGACGGGGCAGACTCTCTACGCGGACTGCGGCTTCAGCGCGGTCGTGTAGTAGCGCGCGGCGCGGAATATTTGTGTGCGACGCTCAAGAGGCACCGACGTTGTATCTGCCTATTTTTTCGAGCGGAGGATGAGGGGCGTGTACACGCATGCCGTCCAGTGACCTCGCATGTAGAAACGGAGGGGGGTAATTTCTCGATCGCAAAGTGCGTCGCTTTCCAATTTCGGACACGCGGCGCCCGAAACAGGGAATTCGGCTGTGTCAAATTCTGTCAAAGCCGAGAAATAGGCGTGCAGATGTTGTTATCCAAAGCAAGTCGCGTCCGCTGCCCCCAACTGTACTAGAGAGCGGACTGCCCATTCTACTTTATTGCCGTTTGGCTTTCGAAGTGTGAGGATCTCAATCGTTTGTCCACACTGCGCTTGTTGGACTGGTGAGATAAGACCTGGCCTGGGGGTTCCCGTTGTCGCCAATGAGCTGGGTGTAGGATCGCGGGTACTGGGTGAAACAACGCGCGAGTGCGCACCAAAAACACTTTTGCAAGCCAAGCCCGGTGTGGCTATCCGCCAACGCACGGTAATGGGGATCTTCCCCAAATGATAACGTGGGAGAAACACTCAACGGCGTTAAAGAAATTGCGTCTACCTTGGGAGATTTTCAATTGAGACATTTCTGCACTCGGACCACAGCAATTGTAGTCGTGGGCGATTCAGGTCACATCTCACAGGAACTGTTGCTCGTTTGTCTTCACGTGTTCGATGTTGAGTGCCCCTTTTGGCAGAGATCACATACCTAAAGAGTGCCGCCAGCGAGAGAAGAGCTAACCGTACGGATATAACGGATTAGTTTTCCTTGATGCTGCTGCCTGCGAGCTGGAGAAATCACCTCCGCTTCTTGCAAGATTCCGCCGCTCACACTATCTTGAGGACGCGAAAATACCGCACGGCCACAGCATGCTTAATACTGGTACCCGACAAGCTGCTCAACTGGCAACACGTTGCACCAGAGCAGTAGATCTTCGCTAGCTCTCCCAAAGCATCAGCATTTCGCGAACGAGGCGCACGATCCCCCAAGACTACGCCTAAGCCTGTTGAAAGAACTTCGTGTTATGCAGGGCGTACCGCGGGTTTGCCCCCTATCGCTCACAACAGCAAGAGGCTCGCTGCAGGTACTTCAGTGTTTGCAAGAAAAACACGCCACCCACGGCGTCGTGTGAAACCGAGACAAAAAAAAAGGCCTACTTCTGTTAGAATCCCAAACGCCCCCCCCCCCCCCCCCCGGCAAGCCATTAGGTGCTTACGTGTTGGAACGTGCCCCTAGCTCAATACGGAGGGAAAGTATGAGGGATTGGCGAAGGGCACATCATGCTAAACCTCGCCCCGCCTCAACTGATCAGCCGAATATCCCATGCCGCAATGGCGGTTGGCGCCTGCTAGCCCGAGCATGATTGGCCTGACAGTATTTTCGGAGACAAGTTGTTGCGGTCCATGGTGTAGTGCCGCGATTGCAGAATCTCTACCCCCGTCCGCCCCCGATCTTCCCAACTCCCTCGTTGTCCTCAGCGGTCGTTGGAGAGATCCAAGCAGGGCACCCTTTCTACCTGCAAAATCACCACCCCCGAAAACGACGAAATGAACACCGGGCAACGTCACTCGTTTTCGTCTTGAGGGTAGCAGCACGCTTTCGGAGAAATTTGCAGGTTCAACATGCACCTGCTAGGGTGAGTCAAATATGACCACCGAAAGTTATTGCGTTCCCGTGAATGGTCCTTCGTTGGAGGATTGCTCTTGAGGTGGGGGAAGTTACAGCAGCACGGTGTGTGTTTATTTAGTGCACCGTCCGTGCTGCTTATGAAACCAGGGGTCATGAGACAACAACGGAAGTGAGGTGAAACGAAACGGCATGAAGGCAACAGGTGCTCGAGTGACCCTCAACCCTGGGAGCTATACCCCAAAACAGACTTGACTCTACGCGAAGCAGACCCGAGCCAGTCAACGTGCGGCATGGGTTTTCTAAACAAGGCAAGCAAGGTCGGAAGGGGGCTGGTTGCGCGACGACACTTTCGACGGAACGTCGCCCACATTTTTGGGTATTGACTTTCGACTCCGCCCCCGCTGGCTCGTGCTCGGCGCAGTGAGTTCGACTCTGGCCCCGCCCCGCAGCTCGGATGCACAAAACTAACTCACACGTAGCGCTAGCTTCAGGCATCCACACTGCGCAGCGTACAAGCCGGAGGGCAAAGTCGACAGCCAAGAGCAAGAACTGTTCCTCCATCTTACCTTACGCAGATGCCGTACACTACAGCGAGTTAGCCCGATTCACAGGGGGTAAAGGACTTCCAGCAGAGTGGGGTTGGGCTCCGACCTCATGCCCATCAGCAGGACCGCGGGCATGATGCCCCACCGCATGATAGGTTTCGCCACAGCCAGGACCTGTGCACAGCGGCGATGCCAAAAAGAGTAAAGAGGGACAACACAAAGAGACGCCGAGCACTCTTATGCACCCAAACGCCACCGAGTACAATGTTCGACGGGATGGATGCCACAAATTGGGGCACTGGACCACTGAAAATATTGCCCATATGTGGCTCTGGGCGAGGCCGCCGGAAAGAAGGTAGACTACAGCTCTGTCGCAGCATTTCCGCCGCACACAACGTCGTGCAATATTGTAGCTACGGGATGGTGCAAAGGCAGGCAACCGCGCGCCAGATGTCTCCTTCAGTTCAACTCGCATGCACACAATGAACCGATCTGACCGGTGGACATAGTACTTGGGGGTCGTGGGGCAAGAGCATCCCCTTGTACAGCACCAGCTCTCAGCACGTGTAGACGTTCTTGGGAAGGCGTCGCAGGGTGTTGTGGGCAAAAAAACGGGAAAGGACCTGCCTTACCTTGGGAAGAAGAGGTGCAGACTTCCGTCTTGGTCGCCTTCGCATGATCTTCTCCCCCATGGTCGATTGTATTTGGACGCGAGCCGTCGATTGCGCGTGTCCGTAAGGTATGTGGACGAGATCACCTGCCAACTGCCAACCTGTGCTGGCGTGCTGCCTGGCAAATGCCTGGGATGAGAGGCCCCGCAGCTGGGAACAGAGACCGGGGGGAGTTGAAAAGGTCCATGAGGCGTGTTGCGCTTGCTGGGGGGAAGCGAAACGTCCACACCTGGCAGTCCCGCGCGCGGGAGACCGACGAGCAGACGTCGACAGACACCAATCGGAAACAGAACCGAACGAGCGCCCCACGCGACGGAACCTCCCCAGCGATGGCCTCTGTCATGCTCTCCGCTTTGTGAGGACCCAGTATCAATCAATTCCTCCGCGTGCAAGCTTGCAGATCACCGAGCTGTTCCGTAACATGCACCAGCCCCGCTGACGTTGAGCGGAGAGCGAACCGATCCACCAGCCTAACCAGCATCCATACCAACGGTTTGAATTTTCACCTCTATCACCTGCGAAGGATGAAGAGAAAAATGTCCCCTCCGCTGCAGCACCCTAGTGACAGTCTCATAAACCGTAGAGCGGGAATGGCAAAGCAGTCTCAAACAAGCGACGGCGAGGACACCGCCGAAGTCAAAGGAGCTGCAGGCGGAGAAGGCGGACGAGGAGAAGGAGGACGAAGAGAAGGAAAATCAAAAGGGACGGGGTCACCACCGTGCTTTCCTATACGAAAAGGATGTGCGCGCCCCGTCGAACAAGAGGTCCTCCAGCGAGGTTCGTGCGATGGAAAGTGTACAGTCTACAGTACGCGGTGTTCCACCTTCCGTTGTTGAGACAAAAGCCTATTACATAGCTCATTGACGCAGATACTGGCACCCGCATTCCATGAGGACACACAGTCTGCTGTTTTATTCTCGTTCTGCGGTATGGATTTCTTGCTGAGTTCGCTCCTCACCGCTGCCCGGCCGCGCGCGGATAAATCTAAGCTCAAGCGCGGATGTTCAAGGACATGCCGAAATCGGTATCCGCAGTAGAATGCTTGAGGCTTGGCAACTTGGCAATCTTGTTGGCGGTCACCCATTCGCTGCAGCCTGAACAAGAGTCAGCGTTGCCTGCAGGTGCCTCAGCTGATGAACCTTCACCAACCCGCTCATTCCTGAACATGCCAACTCCCCTCGAAATACAAGTCGGGGAAACAAGCCAAACTGTTGCTGCCGGGGTTGACAGCTTCCCTTGCATGACACATTAAGACATGAAACAATTGCCCAAGCTGGGGAGCCTACGTAAGTTTCCTGTCACCGATTGACGCAACAAGAACCTCATGTTGATCGGAGCACTTTAATACAAACCTACTGACGTCAGGGGAATAACGAAGACAGCGCAACATCATTGAATTGGGTAGAACCCTCGAAGTAAGCCCCCCAAGAGGAATACTCTGGTAATTAAAGTCTTTCCCATTTTTCGTGTTCTTCGGCGCTGTTACACAAGAGGGCATCAGTGCACAGGCACTGCTACACCAGTGAAGAATAGCAGAGAGCATTTTGTGTAAGTAGGAATATTGTCGTCGAGGGCGACACCGACGCCTACAACCACTCTGGGTGACCAAACATAGCAACGCTTTCTTGTATCTCGGAAACAGAATGGGAGAAACTGGGTGACGAAGAGAAGGCTATCCGGCGCGCGCAGCGAGCTCGGCGCGGGGAGCGCTGCTCTCAGTGCGGATGTGTTGGGTATTTTCGGCGAAATTGTCCTACGTGCCCTCCAGTAAGGTGCAGTGCCGGCCGAATCCCTTTCAACGGCGCTAACTTCGTGTGTTGGCACCTTAAGACTTCCCCTCCATGTGTTTCCGTCGCCTTGTGTTCGACACCGCTGACCAAACGTGATATCTTCTCTGCTGGATCGTACTGGGGTCATGGCCAGAGTCCCCCCTTCTTTACGCCGGTTTCTCGATGTCGTTTACTCTATTGCTTTGGGTTGCATGGGTGTGCTTGAAAAATGCGATGGCCATTATTGTCGACATGAAATACTAGCCCGAACCGTCTTAGAGCTAACTATTGTCACCGTTCCATTCCCGTGATAGAATTCCTTTCCGTTGCGTATCATCCCCCACCGAACCACGCCGTACCGTGCGGTGTTGACTGCTTCCCGTGCAACTACAAACGTATGTTGAAAACCGGAATATCGTCGAAAGGTTCGACGTCAGGGCGGACAGGTGGCGTTCACCCACGGTGGAAGAGAAGGCGAAGGAAAAAGTTAGGGAAAAAGAACGACAAATGACCCGCACGATTACAACGAAAGCCTCGTTGGCGACAACCATTGGTTCGGGACCTGGCGGAAACGTGAGAGTGACGTAATATACGCAGTGCTAGACAACGCACGGCGCGTGTTCGAAACCGTGATAGTGCCTTGAGAACGTCTGGAGCGACAATAGACGAAAGGCAGACGCACACCGAGTGCGTGTGAACATGTGAACAAGGTGACGATGAGCGATGCGATAGTTGATCCACCAGGCAGTGGGCAAGCCAATGGTGGTACTTACAATTATTGACAAGGAAGGTGCTCCGGGAACAACATTAGAGGCACGGTTCGGGTGTTAAAATGTACACCCTACTACCTGCGTGTGGAATCCAACCTGCTATGACCACCGACCGGCAAAGGTTACAACAGGTAGCAGGAGAGACGAAGAATTTCTCAACCGCGTGGCCGGGCGGGGAATCCTGTGGGGACCCCTAGCTGACCGAGCAACAAAACATCCTACGGCAGCGGTGGACGGCAGGGGCACCGGCGGAGCAGGAGGGACTGGTGACGAACATCTTGCGACAACGGTGCCAGGTCACGTCCGCGGAAACATGTTTCATGCCCGAGAAGGTGGTGAAAGCATTAGAGAGCGTGCGGGAACAATAACGGCAGAAGGGGGCAGCCTAGTGAGCAGTTTGGGAGGTCAGGGGGATGCCGCAGGGTTGGAAGTGATGGTGCCTTCGCTGGCTGGCTCCTCGGATCTATCGTCCGGGGTAATTTCTGGATTTCGAAGGGCGTTGGTGTGGGCAGACGGCGGACAAGCGGCAGCAGCGGAGGGGTGTCCCTCCGTCGTGTCTAGGTACGTATGCACGCGAGGTATCGCGCCGTTGTGAATCCCAGCTATGTCTCAATTCTTCGTGTCACAAAGTTGTATATCAATATCAGAACGCATTCGCATCGTTCCCTCTTATGTGTATTCAGTTTCATTCTTCTGCACTGCTGGATTTGGCCTGAAAGTGGGCAGTACTTCTCAATGGCTGCGGTCATGCACCACCATATCTACCAGAAGCACCGTTGCATTAATCGCATGGTGAACGTTTGTGTTCTTGACAAACACCCCGTCAAACGGTTTTCGCTCTCCAACACCGACGTTCATCCGTATGTGCAGAGCGCTGTCGAATACGGCACGCTACAGGATCAATCACCCCGTTTCTAGCATGAGCGTGGGTCTTGACAACTGCCATGTTATATGTTTGTTAGAGTGACGCACCCTGTGTTTCCTCCCGCTGTCTCAGGTTAATGGATCGTTTATCGTTCGAAACAAATATACCCACATTCATTCCAGAAGGCCATAAAACCACCCGACCCTAGCAGCGGCTGACGCAGTACACTTCGAGCGGTACAGTAGGATAAACTCAAACGCGGGCTGTGCATAGAAAGATACGGTAAAGACGTTACTGTCACGTTCCTACCCATCCCACTTGAACGAGCAATCACAATGAGCTCATTAGGGTCGCGATGACCGTCTCCAGCAAAACACCGCGAGCCAAATGCATCTCAACTCAGCTTGGCTCATTTTCCTCACAGCCTGAACGGCATTCCCGGAAGAGGTGCGGGAAGCGCGGATGTCTACAGCGACAACGCCACCGGCGGAGAACATGCGGACCAGTCAAGAAACCTCCCTGGCGAAGGCAATCGCGACAACCACCCGAAGCCCGCACAAGGCTTGCATCGCGAAGGCAGCGGTGACAACAGTGACAACGACAGGGACGATGATTACGCTTTAAGCAGCATCGGCGGCGGCGATGATGCTGACGGGCGCTTTGGGAACGCCGGGGGCACCCACGGTAGACTCAGCAGGGGCGGTGGGGGCGGGATTACTAGCCACGACCCAGAAGTGAAGGGAGTCGGCGCCCCTGAGGGTGATGGGTACAAGCTTGATGGACGATTGAAGGAGAGCCTGACGTGGAGGTAGGCACAGGATGATAGGCTTGTTGTGCTTAATCAAGAATTGCAACCGTTGGGGAAGAATACATAACTTGCTTCTGGATTCTTGTTCGCAGATTGTACATATTACTCATATTCGCTCATTTCTCAGCGGTTCCTATCCGCTAACCCCAGACCTGTTTCGGTAGGCTCCAGTACTAGACGATTTAAGGTGGAACGGAATGCAAGTCAGAAATCAATGGAAGGACCACCTGGCATATGGCAGAACGGTCTCCATTATAGTCACCAATCACACCGATAATGACCAGTTCTGTCGAAAACGACGTGTCGAAAAAGGAGAAATCAATTTCGAACGATGTAATTCTTCCCTGGACAGGCAACAGACTCTACCGTGTGCCCAAGTTGCAGATACTTAAACGGCCACATCAAGTCGGCTCCAGGCCGCAGCGATGGAACCAAAACAATACAAAATTGGGAAGAATTATACATACGAACGGAAACGTCGACCAAGTGAAGTCTTTACCAATGACACGAACGTGCGAAGCAATTCATATGTCCGTAATGCACCGGTACGTAGTTCTATATTGATACAGCCATATGCCGGAGCCTGGCACGCTTGATTTTGGGGGGGGCGGGATGTGAGCTTTTTTGGGCGTTGCCAAGGAGGAATGCGCCTGCTTGTGACATGCTTGGATGAGGGCCGTGATCGCTCACACATCTCCCTTTGAGGCTGAGCTCTTTTGAGACGGAGCCCGTTCTCGTTGTTACTAGAGTCACATCCTACGTTTGATGGTACCTACTTCACAGGAGGTATGCCACGCTCAACGTGGTGGCCGTAATGAAGGCAACCGAAAACGAACCAGGGGAGGCCCTATTTGCACCATCTGTGGCATCTCCGTTCGCCTTACGCACCCAGGAAACGGTTGAACTTCACCTAACGATCCTCTTTCCCCTCCGTCTTTTCTCCTCAACACGCGTCTTTCTCTGAGAAAGATGGCCGAGTATGTGCTCCACGGCGGATGCCAGAGGCGCGAATGACGATCTTTCGCCGCAGAAACCTCCCAAAGGGAGCTATCTTCGGCAGCGCGGACCCACAGTGAGAGCGGCGGAACGAGGGATGGCGAGATGAAAATTGTTTTCTAGAGAGGGAGACAGACTAGAGAGGGAGACAGGCAGATGCATGGAGAGGGCGACAGAGAGATTGGTCAGACAGAGAGATGGATACATAGGGTGACAGAAAGACTGATTGGACGGAGACATGGGAGAGGGAGAAAGAGAGTGATACAATAGCTGCAGGTACAATTGGTGCTGCTGCTCCTTCCCATCATTAGAGGGCCCACAGTGTGCGCACGCCCCCCGGTTTCGCCTCTACTGGAATAGGTACGGGTCGTCCAGGAGAATCTCCACCTAGCATTGGAGCGCCTCGCCGAGGCTATTCAAGAACAAGTGCACTCGGTGTCGTCGAGGCCGTTTGCAGAGGAGATTTTGCGAGGGCCGCCGGGCGGAGAGCCGCCGAAACGGTACTGCGGAACTCCCATGCGAAAGGTGCTGCGGATGGTACATATTGCAGAAAAACGACGTATGAGGGATTGGACGGGACAATACTATGCCACCGCCTGTTGCTGCAAGATATCATGTACGTATGCCCAATACAGCACTGAATTCTGGCACCACCCTGGCCCTCAAATGCGTCAGTTCCTATATGTATTAGAAAGCGATTTCGAGACCAAGGGCGAGCGACAAGACTGGCCCCCACCCCAAACAGAGTCTCAGCATGCTGACATTTTAAATCCCTCGAAGCAGAATGGAATGATCTGAGCCTCTCCACCCCTGTTGGTGTCACGCGTCCCCGTCATGCAGGACTTTCGTGACTTTTTCGACAGCGAAGAGGAAATGGCTGCCCGACAACAGCAGCCGAAGGCATACGCCCACCTGGGAGGTCTGCGCGAAGAAGGAAAAGCGAAGTACGTGTTCGATCGGACAAGTCACACTCGGAAGGGCTCGCTGGCCGCCCATTTGCGGTAAGGGAGATTGAGGTGCAGTGATTGACCTAAAGAAGGAAGATAGAGCCTAAGGACGGCGAGATCGACACGTACTGCACGACATATCAACCAACTACACGTCACACGATCCGAGTGTTCGCAATGATACCTGAACATTAAAGTTGATATGGTTTCCTTTTGCTCCGGTTGCGTGGTCTGTTTCTGATCTCCAGGGGAGACTACGAGCCTCGCCCTAAGGGTTATCGGGGCACCAACGTCCACTCCGTGGCAGACTGGCGACGGCTCAACACCACCCTCGACAGGTGAGAGACACGTCGCTGACCGAAGATGGTAGACACAACCTGGCATGTACCTATCTCGTTCTATTGCCGTGATAGCTCCACCAGAAGACGGGGATGGAAGAGGTTTGGGGCCTTGTGGGCAAGCGCGATGCCGATGACTTGTGAACGGTACTGTACTGCCGCACGGAGGAAGCACAGTTTGGGCGTTTGGCATGCGAAGGAGATAGGTTTCAAGCCCCGTCGTACCAGACGGTATTCAGTTGTTCGATCTGCACGTCTTCCTTGGTGTACATGGCATGCAGCATACGATACTACGGTGAGCGAACCCAAGCGCAATCACAAATACCATGCAATGGAACAGGAAGTAGAGTGAAGCGTTGTCCCCGTGAGAGTGACCCCCCCTTCTCATGCACCCTCCACCCACAAACAGATATGCTATCACGGGCAGGGAGGCAATGGAAAGAGTGGCAAAGTCCGACAGGGAACTGCGGAGCCAGGGCGTTTGGGTCAGGCAGCACACGAAAGCGAGAGAACAGCGCAGACAGCGCGCGAACCACCTCCTGGAGGTGAGGCGTCTTCCGCAACGGCGACAAGTCTCGTTCGATCAACAAGCTGCACACGGTGTTCTCACAGTGCGGAGCGTGTTGAGTCTTCGTTTGTCCGAGCGCGATACATTGTCACTCTTTTATGATTTTCCGGACGACGAGAATAGCATGCTTAAAAGACTAGCATGGATGTCCTGTGCTCTGACATTCCGCGAACATTCTCAATTTCCGAGCCTTTTTTGCCGTTCTGGTGTGCCTCTTGTTCATGAGTGACCCCGGAGCTGCATATTTCAAAGCCTTAAGGTTATTGTAAAGTCGACGGCGTTGTACTTGTGTGACGTTGCAATTACACGCCAGGTCCTAGCATGGCGTTAACGTTTTCGTGCTTGCGGCATGAAGCCGCTCCTTTCTTCCCACCATTGGTCACAACTAAACAGCGACAGCTTCGAGCTGGTCTTAACGATCATTATTTCCACCATGATACAACGGAAATATCAGGCTCCTATGAAAGCGCGTGGGATTCGGAAAACATGGTTGGGCCGGCCTAGTTGCTTGATACTCCTTTGGGTTTCATGGGGGACTTCCATGCTCCATCAAAATTTAATCGCGGACAACCCATGTTCTCAGGATGGGGTTGCAGGATCTGACGAGGTAGTGGATTCTTGCGCACGATGCGGCGCAAATGTGAACGGCCGTACCTCGTGAATCGTCGTTTCCCAACAGATCGGCGAAAGCATCAGTCTGGGTTCTGCATACTTGTCCTTGGTTCCATGTGACGTGGTGTCTGCTCCTCCTTTAAATGCGGCTTAGCTGTCTACCTGGCGATTTCTCGTTTGGGCAACGCCTGCAGGTTTATCGATCCGAGCTGCTGAAGGAACAGCTCCGGGAGATAGAGGCGCTGCACCTTGCCCCCGGAGAACAGCACGCGCACGCCACCAAAAACATGAAAGACCAGGTGAACAAGCGACGAGGGAGGCAAACGATATTTTCTGTTATGAAGAGCATGCGCCAAATGCCTTTCTAGATTTCATGCGCCCGAGGATATCTAGGTATCTCCTCCAGAACGACGTGTAGGGAATTTTGGGCGGGTTTCGAATTTATTCTTCCTTTTTCGTTCCAAGCACATGCCATGCTGTAAATACTCCGGCCCTCACCCAAGAACATGGCAGTTTGGGACTCGGGTCTGAAATATTACTCAATCGTGAGGTCTTGAGCATAGGTTGCCCAGCTCTGTTAAGCGCCCAACACAAAACGGCCTAGCAGTCGCTATCTTTCCCCGGCAGCGGAAAGCGGCCGCGAGCCTCGCACAAGACGAGGACATAGGACGGGGGCCGATTTTGTGCTCTTTTCTGTGGTCAGCCTCAATCCTGATCCTTCTTCATCGTGTTCTTACTCTTGTTCTTGTTTTAGCCGAAGCATTGTATCCTGTCGGTCGCTTTGTTTCGGCCCCCGCGATTGAGATTGGAACGTGTAAGGAGTTCGAAACACCCCAATGAACCCCGTTGCGGATGGATGGACGACGTAAATTGTTGATATCGACCATCCAGAGAATAGCCGTGTGTCGCAGCCGATCACAATCCACAACTAACTCACGTCTCTCAGATCTTAGCCGCCGACCGCATCATGCGCACTGTATTGCGCTATGGACTAGTCGGAAACATGGAGGATGCCCACTACGTCAAATACGCGGCAGATGCAGCGCAGCGAGCGGGGTTGGCGTCGACAAACGGCGCCGCTGCCGCCGAAATGAAGGTATGGTCGTATCAGCACGAAAGCCCTCACCTCGTGACAGGGCGCCACACCACCATGGTAGAGGCCGCTAGCATTGGAAGACGTACTGGCCGAGGAGACAGCAGTCACATGGCACCCTCTGTTTTGGTTTTGGGTTTCTGTCTTGCGCACATGACCTCCCTCTGTCTGGAGCTCTGGATTCCGTCCATTGCGCGTGGTCTCGATGGTTCGGTTTCTTTCTTCAAGGTGTGAGTAATGCAAGGGCGGTTTCAATAGGTTGCTTCTCTAAGAGTCTAAACGGTTCCACCAATTCGGAATGGGTTGGGTGTCGGGTGCGCCCGCTTGCCACATTCGGTTTGAGCTCCCACGTCTCGCGCTTCACGTTTGTTTTGCCTAACGCCGTCATCACACACTCCCAGTACGATGTGTGTCGTATCAACGCGTCCTATCTGAACCTTGGTGCATTGCCAAACAACTCGAGAACTCAATCCGTCGGTCCAAAACAACTTTGAGAAGCCCTCCACTCGATGACCACGTTGCATCTCTTGATCGATTTCGTAGGCTGGTGGTGGTAGTGGCGCTGGCGGTGGTACCGCCAGAGAGCGTCCGAACGGAGACGGCGGCGTTGTGAAAGCAAGCAGCAAAAAGTCTGCCAGAGTGGCGACGAAGAAGAGGGCAGGATCAAAACACGGGGTTGGGGACGATTCGGGCGAACAGGTGAATCCACGGGCCGTTTCGGTACGCACCGCGGGGTTACCTTCTGTCGTTCACCTAGAGCCACTTATCGCGATTCTTTGAATGATCTGTGTCCGTCTTTCACGTCTTTCGCTTCTACAAACCACATCCACGTAAACTAGACTACAGCCCATCCACACGTATTTCCAGCTTTCACACCCCACACCCCACACTATCGTTTTTCACGTTTTCTTCAAAACCTCCCGGGGGCTGTAACCAGATGTCTCCGTACAGTGTAGCTCTGGCCAGGCCGCTCCCGGCACGCGTCACCCCGGACACCGAGAGGCGAACTGGGCAGCTCAAAACAGCCAAACCTCCATTGAATGCCGGGCGATTCGCCCTTGGGGAAGGACAAGGAACCGCGAGTGCGGCTGCCGAACAAGCCCGAAGGTGCGATGGATTTCTACGGCGTGGCAGCAACGATTTGTCTGGTTGATCGCAGAATGTGAATGCTCTTGTGTGTGCTGAACGCGTTCTCGACGCAGAAGATAAGAACCACATGCACCCCGCGTTCTTTTGCTCCCCCCAAGACATATTCGCACAGAGCGTATGATTTGCTTGGCTCGACATATTCCTAGATATTCCGTAGCGTTCCCGAGATCTACGTCATCATATTCGAGCATGATGTTGCCTGGCCTGCGATATCGAGTTACCTTGGTAAAGTACTTGACCGTGAAAAAAACGTTGGGCCAAGTTGGTTTGGTGGGATCCATACAGGTCATTGAAGGACAGGACCTAAAAATGGCATACAAGCGCATGAAAGCCGCACGCAGTACATGCACTCACTTGCCAATGATCGAACAAGGTTGGATAGGACAGAGGTTGATCCGCCCGACCTGTCGTGTTCTGTAGTAGTAAAAAAGTACGGAAAAATACGTTGCGACCCCAGCAATCGTTTCAGCTTACAGTTTCTGAACGAGGTCCAACAGGCCCACCAAAACTACTCTTTCACATTTTGAGAATGGTCGCACTGCTTTTTGTTTTTATTTGTAGTAGTCGTCGTGCCCGATTACCTTCTCGGTCCCGTCCAACTTCATGAAGATGAATAACCCATTGTCGGGCGTGAGTCACCCGGTGATTGATGCCTCTGATGAACTCTTGCCTACGGACGCCTTGCGCTGTTGTCCTTGTGGGTGGCCAACAAGTGGAAACTCAAACGAAAATTGCACGTTTTGACGTATTGGAACAGGTCCCTGATTCAATCGGAACGACTCCGAACGTTTAGTCTTGCAGGACACCCCCTTCGCCGGGGTGCGGAAAATGACACAACCGCAGTTCCGGCGTTGATTCCCATTCCCGAAGGCTTCGGTCATGTAAGCAAATGGTCTTCTCGCTGCTATCTTATCCGTTGGCGGTCGTTTCCAGTTAAACAGGGGTTCGATAATGGTAGTTTTTGTTATTCTATGTCACGCACTTTTAGCCGTTTTTAGTTTCGAGCGTCGACGTAAAATTGTTTTTTATGAAGAATCATCACGGTGATGTTCATAGGGTACCTGAAATCGTCAGGCATGGAATGCTATCGAATAATGCTGCGCTTGAGCGGCAATAACATATTCTCCTTGTTTGATTAGTCCCCGCGGCACATGTACATGTTCTTTGGTCTTTGGCTGGTTGTATGTCGTGTGGATTCTCCTCTTGTTTGGAATATTGAACACGTGTGGCAGTTGCGTTGGAGCCCAAGTGAATCTGTAAAGAATCGTGGGGTAGTACTGCAACTCGTTGCTTCTTCGTGTTTTCAACGCACCTAAATATACCTGCCATGGTGCGGTACCCGTTTGTACCCGACGACGTGGGACTGCTTTTAACAGGCGAACGGACAACACAAGTCTTTTGTGGCGGGTCGAATCATCGAGGCGTTACGAGCAAGCCAGGTTGACGCCATTACCGGCAGGTGAGAAACCGAGAGCAAAACCTGTTTTGTCTTAAGCCCCTTCCGGAGAAGGCGCGATGTCGCAGCTATATTGTTCGGAAGCTGACTATGTACCAAACGAATGTCATGCTCGTAACTATCCGAATAATGTATCTGGTTCTACTGTCCGTACATCACGGCATGGGCGGGTAAAAGTAAAGTGGGGGTATTCAAAAACCTTCCCCTGTGGGCACCATGTGTCCTAGTAGGTGTGCTAATAGGTTCAAAAAGTTTGAGTTGGTTGATGATAAGTCAAGTGCATGACGAGTGATGCAATTGCGGCAGGACGAACAGCATGCCCATTTTTTCGTCTGTAGTTGTTTCCCTTCGATTCGGTTCACCGTCTAGAGTATACTACCAGCGCGGGCACCATCTAGGTAACAAGACGCGCCGACCCTCCAGTGGTTACTTGCACTACATGCTCGGTCCTCCCGAGCACGCTTCAAGTGACCAAAACCCCATGTGTCTCCGTCCGTCCTAGGCAAAAACGGATCGCGGTGCCGCTGTGGCATCGAGCCACCGACGACATGGATTCCTCAGGAGCCGGCAGCGTTCTCTACTCGGACTTGATTGGCCACACGTACTCCGTGCTCGTGGGACCAACGCGGGGGGTTGTGGGTCGAAGACAAGGGACGGGATAGTAGTGCGAAGATAGACGGTTCGAGATGTTTTCCATCAATATTTTGGTTGTTAGATCAGGAGTGATATGTCTCCAGTGTAGTTTCCCTCGCCTGTGGAAACCATGACGCTTTCCAAGGTTCTCATTCGCATTCTTTCTCGCCCTTTCTGGCTGTGAGCTGCTCATCCTCTCGGATGAGCGTCGAGAATCGAGGGAGGTTGTTGATTCATGGTAAGTTTGCTTACCGATACGACTTCGGCATCGCGACAACGTGAATTACCGCCGACGAAAAAATCTACTAGACCACTCTGGGATGTAGGGCCTCCCACACTTTCTACAGTTTTGCTAAAACGCCCATGGGTACTTTGTTGCCCATGGTTGACCCATGGGCATTCTCGTGGGCAGCCCATGGGCGGCCAATGAGAGCCCTTCAACCGGAACCAGTGTGCTGCTAGACAATAGACTAGAGTATCGCTTTGGAACGGGCATTGTAGCGGCTAATGACCCTAACGCTAACAACTCTCACCCTAACCCCAAGCCCACACGATACGTGCTAAGTTGGCGCTTGCGCCTAGGTTCTATTATGTTGATGTGCAGGTGGCTAAGTTCTAGGTTGATATTCCGGTGGCGAAGTTCTAGGTTGAAGTGCCCACGGTGGGCACTTCATGCGCACTTCATGGGCAGCCCATGGGTGTCCCATGTGCGGTTTAGCAAACCTGTCAGTAGTGCGGGAGATTGGGGATGTACGACGAGCGCGTAATAACAGGCGCTCTTGATGGCGCTGTCGTAATGAATGCCTGGGAGGCCCCAAACCCACTCATCACCTGCCGACTTCCATCAGAAACAATGTACCTTGACGGGAACAAGATCTGACCTGAAGTCAAGCTTGTTTTGCCTACGGCAGAAATGTAGGGTACGCGTACTGAGGATCAACGCCTCTTGACACGACAAAGTAAGCCGGCGAAAAGACGAGTGCTTCGTGGAAGCAAACCTTCATTTTTGGGGGGGTGGGGGCGAGCTTCGAATAGTAGGGTCGGGGGCGGAGCGTTCTACTGCCACCAAGAGGTCTGTCACCCGTAAGTGACATCTGCAAGGGATTTATCAACGAAATCTATCTTCTCAGCAACCTCTGCGCACAGGGATTGCTGTCCGGCGTTGCTTATCGTTTTCACGACAATACCACCGTCACGCGCCGGCCCGCATCATGACCATCATGACGACGATACGCTTGGTTGAGGCAAACTTCGTTGTCAACATATCTTCATTAGGCCATATCTCAGCTCTGAGCGGTCTCGTCCTTTCCGGCGTCGGCCATAGCCAAGAACAGGCGGCAAGCCACACACTCCAACGACCATGCCGGAGGAACATCAAACTGGAGCGAATTAATAGCACCCGGTAGGCCCGAGGGGCGCCGGACACAACTGTGGCAGTTCGTTCGGCATACAGGCGAAGCGTTCATGTTACATATTCAGCGAGGTGGTGGACCTTGACGATGCCGAATGCCTGAACCTGTTCGGCGGTTTATTCTCAAAGTCGTGGCGCGTTGAAAAGTGCTAAGTCCATGGGCGTTACCATAACAACGCGCTTAACGTCTCGTGCAACACACCCTTGTACAATTTCCCAAGGTCATGCGTATGTCAATATTTGCAGATACGGATGCAGTTCTTCTCATATTGTCCCCTTCCCTTTCAATAGGGAGACATTTAGGGTGAAGCACTAATCTTGGTCGTCGTTGTTGTAGCGGAGCGTAAAAAGCGGCAAAGCTGCTCGTTTTCAACGTCCACTCCGATGTCGGTGTTGAAAACACCTTCCACGGCTTCGACGTTCTCCACAGTTAGAGTCATCACTTCGTTTTTGTCCGGGCTTGAGCCCGGTGCTGCCGCAGCTGCTGGTGGCTCCTTGCTTTCCACAGTTTCTTTTTCTACTTCTGGTCCCGTTAGAGGTGGTGCGACAAGTCCAGAACGGAGGGCCTGGGCGGCGTCATGAAGAAGAAGGTTGAAACGATCCTTGAGTGCCAACAGGGGACCTCCCGGCTCTGCAGCAGCGGCAATGGCCTTGGCGCTTGTCTTTTTCTCGATCGCGGACAATAGAGCCTGGATAGATAGGAGTCGATTGGGATTAATGCACCAGGTGGTGGTGGCGGGTGTGTTGGTCAGACTGTTTGAACCCATTTAGTTAAGGCCAATGAGCATATTTAGGGATCCTTCCTCAATGAGTTGCTTCAAGTAGTTGAAGGTATTTTGTGATGCCGACATGCGCCAGGCCAACACCTCGGCACAGTTCAATGGCGTATGGGCACTACTCAGGGTACCATACGAACTACGCCTGTATCCGTGGAACTCGATTTGGCCGGCGCCACAGAGGGCATCGACCCTACTCAGTCGACGCGATTGATACTCCAAGCCATATCGGCATGATCCTCTCAAAGGTGCTCCCGAATGACGAATCAAGCTTGGAAGAATTTAATGTCCAGTTCGTAGTATCTTCATCATCACCGGACGCCGTTCTGTTTGCAACGCCATGTTCAGACGCACCGATAAAATACTGCAACTATTGTCATGCCGTCAGTCGTACGGGGCATATTGGCAATTAGGATCACCCTATATCTAGGGCTCCTCTGCAGCAAATCAATGAAGCCCATGTTCAGTACCTTGAGTTGAGAGGCACGGCGCTGTAGCCCGTCCGCACTCGAAGCGAGCACGCAAGACACCAATATTGACGGGTCAAACTCGCTGCCACTAGGTGGTCCTTTTTGCCCCGCCTTCTCGTCTGCAGCATTAGGCTGACCGGGGCCCAGAAGGATGAACGCAGTCCGGGCTGGGTACAGCCCCGCAACCGTTTGATCTGCGTCGTCGTCGGCACCAACTAAAGTAGTGCCGGCGGTACTGCTGCCGCGAGCACCGATACCGTGGAAATCACCCCAAATCCACTGCACGCAAACCACCGCGGGAGAAAGAACGGAGGCCACGTCCGCCGAGCTGCTAGCTTCTCCTACGGTCTGCTTGGGACCGGCCGACCGGGCACACAAAAGCCGACCGATTGCCGCATAAGCGGCGGGGATAATCTTCGTGGTTTACATTGGGTCTTCCCCCATCTAAGCGGACAAGCTTGACAAACATTCGCACCATGAGGCCAATAATGCTGGCGGAAACACGCTTGTACCGACTTCACAATGTTTGGTTAGAATATCAAGGGATGACATGAAGCGTGCACATGTCTGCTGAAATCATACACAAGAGCAGGAGATTCATAAGGTAACGTTTCTGACTACACCGAGCCCAAAACCCGTACCTCTGGCGCCGATGGTGGGTGAAGCGAGGATGCTTGGATGCAGCATTTCTCCCGGTACAAGGGTACGTGACGGTACAGAAGGGCGTGGATCTGTGCAAGTAGACATGCCGGCAAGAAGACAGGGGTACGTTAGTTTCCCAGGAATGAGCATGTCGAAGGGGAAACACACCTTGGTAAGGTAGGTGTTTCGAAACGTGTGACCTTGCAGCACCGCTCAGATCGCATTGCGACATACCGCAGTCTGCGCTGAGTGCCCCTCCGCCAAGTCGACAACCGAGGGTGTAGGGAAACATACTGAGGTGGTTCCGGGGCCAAAAACATTTTGGAAATAATTCATCTCCCCCCCTTTACTTCTAACGGCCACGGGAGGACGTGCGACATCTTGGTTCACCTCAACATTTGACGGGGTTTGAATGGAAGTGTGTGAGCGATTTCATGATTTAATCATGGCACACACGGCATCCCGAGAAACAATTTGACAGTGTTTCTGAGCATGAAATAAGGTGGGCTTGATGTATATGGTTCTGAAGCCAGATCTCGAAGGCATGATTCAGTCAAGGAAGTTGTTGCTGCTCGTGTATGGTTCATGCTTTTTGTATGCCAGGGCAGACGTCGTTGTGAACCCCGCCATAGCTACAGCCTTGGAAAGTGCTGGTCTATCGCACCCGACGGCCCCTGTTAAGCTTCCTGCGATCGAAGGGACCTTTACCAGCCTATTGGCGGTTCAACTCCTTCTCAACTGTCTCGGATCGGACTAGTCTATAGGTGAGATGCCCAAACAGGAAGGCATGTAAGAGAACACCAATGTATCATTTTGTAGACCTACCGAAAGGATCCGAGAAGGCGCGTTGCACAGATAGCTTGCTCCCTAGGTTGATCCAACGCTATCCTTTTACATCTCAGGACGTTGCCAGGATATGCCAACGAAGCCAAGGGCGATACATTGTTGCTATTGAATTAGGATTCAGTTCACGGCTCGCGCTTAGCTCACGGAATTTTCATCTGATATCCTTTTCGAGACTCCCTCCTATTTAAGCAGAGACCCTTGTTTCAATGCTAGAACAGAAGATTTTGCAGCCCTCCCACGGAACGTGTACCTGGCAGACCACAGAGGCTGGTAGCATGTCCACCGGAGCAGCCGCCAGGCTTTTCTCGTGAACCCGAGCACGCAGGAACTGCAGCAGACCACGTGTGCTCAGTCGAAGAGGGTCGTCCTCTGGCCCCCTCCCTCCTCTACCCGCGAGTTCATCTAGTGCCGATCTTTTAGTCAATACGACAGCGAGGGAAAGCGAAAGGCCGGGACGCGCGGGGTTTCCACTACCATAGGCAAAACGCGCTTCACAATAGCTTTCGGAACAAAGGTGAATAACGTATGAGTGATACTGTGGTAAGAACGAATCTCGGTACTATGTTCGAGAGACGGCAACTTCCATAGCGAATCCGCTTCGAGGTACAGGCAATCGATCAGTTGGTATTCGTTCGAGTTGAACGTGTCCTGAGATGGTCTACGCAAATCGTTGTTCAACGCGAGGAAGCTACCAACCGCTCGTACGGCTGTCGCCACCGTTGGATCTCATGGCATCAGCCCTACCCCTAATGCCGTTTCGACGGACAAGTTATGTAGAGCCGCGGATAAACAGTAGTTGATTCGAAACCGTTCGTTCGTTGCTATCGGGTTGGTCGCCCCTTTGCATGTGTGTGGACACGTCAAGCCCCGTGCCTACCGATGACCGATTGATGGAAAACGCTTCCCTTTGCATATACTGTCTTATGCCTCGATATGTAGACATGTAATATTTCCGTTCACCTTGGCATATTGTCGATCACCGCAGCAGGGAGTGGGTCGCTCGCGATGCTGTCAAGCTCGATACTTAGCCGCCTGTGGCCCAACGAGATCGAGGCTGCAAGCCTCAGGTAGTGAACGGCCAACCCCATCTTGCGTCGATGTAGCTGTGCATATTGCAGCGACGATGTGAGCTTGGTTTGAATTTTTCGCCGAAAACGAGATAGTCGTGTTCATAAAAGTTCCACTGGAGTCGAACTCGACTTTCCACTCGAGTTTGTCAAGTGAGTGAGTACCTCCGCGGGTGTGCCGGCATCGACGAGGTGTTCGTGTCCAAACGGTCCACCTACGCACCCATCCATCTTCTCACTTACCTCCCGTCCACCATCAGCCCCCGCGGCATGGAGTGAAGCACCGTTCTTGTCATCCTCGCTAAGGTGTTTCCAGTTTTCTCTATTTTTGGAGGTCGTTTCTGCAGTGATGTGGTATAGCACAACGAGGCTCATGCACGCGTCGCTCATGACGCGCCAGTCGTGCCCTCCCCGCGAGAAGGAGACCCGCAATGCGGCCGTCAGCGCGGTCGCCGTGGCCGCCTCTAGCGTGGATGTGTGGGGGCAGCCCATTCGTGGCAAGTGTAACCCGTGAGTGGGTGCATAGACACCTAGAGGAGCTTCGGCAACGGCGGTTGTAGCGGTGGAACCTATCGGATCCCCTGAACTGGACAAGGACGAAGCCTGGATGTTCTTTAGCTGACGCAAGCGGAACGCCCCTACCAGCAGCAGCAAGTGGGCCCGAAGAGCAGGATGCGGGTGCGCAATGTGCCGCAAAAGTGCCTGAAACAGAAAGAGCTTCATGGTCAGGGTACTTTTCGCGATCGAAGGTCGGACGAAAAAAGACTAGAAAAGCTGGGAAGGTAAAGGTGTGTATTGATGAAAAGCTGGCGGGTTGGGGGCGACATGAATTCGAAACAACAGGATGAAGAGCGGTACAAGGAGCGGCGTAGTGCGGTGGACAGATTTGGGGCGATAGCGACATGGACGGTGAAAGCCCGTGGCTTCTAAAATGACGACTGCTAAGATATTGCCGATGGACCATCTCGACGTGTTCCCGTTCGAATCGCACCAAAGGATGTAACAACGTTTTTTCTGTCTGGAAAAAATAACGTCAGGCAGAAGCTTGGCCACCTGCTTTCATAGGAGCTGAGACCGAATCGCCATGAGGGTAGCAAGGTATTTTGTGAAGAATGTGTGTTAGGACTCGCCATAGTCTCCTCGGCCAAACTTGAAGCTCCCACCAACCATCCTTCCCCAGTCGTCCCGACGGTGCCCGCGTAGTTGTTTTCCTCTGCGTCGTCATGGTGCTGCTGGGAGGATATTTCGTTTTCTCCTTCACTCCCCGAAGATTGCCGCCGCTCCAGCTCCTCGCGCTCCGCGTTGTACGGCCCAACGCCTTCGAGTATATCCAGTAGCGTCACCCTTCGAGGAAACGTTGTTTCGGTGGCACTGTGTTAGCGGACGCGACGAGAATGACATGACCTTGGACCCACGTGTATTCATGAATGAATATATTGCAAGTGCATGACTCTACGCGCGGTGAGTGGACTATACGTCGAGCTGTCGTAAGAAAAAATTGGCTTTGGAAATTTGGCACGGTACCGGGTTTACATGGTACGGGCACTAATTAGGTCACGGTTTGGGAACCAATAATCGTCACAAGTCGCGAACAGATGTTGCGGTCGTGCTTCGTGAGGTCATTCTCGTCGACAGTACTACGAGGTCGATCCAAGATACTCGACGAAAGGCGACTGAATTGCGGGGCAGTCTACAGCTTTCAGAGTGGGTGTCGAATCTGCATCCGATACGACGGTGGCATGCCTTGGCTGGCAGCCTTGATCTCGCGTGGACGGGATTTGATCGATGGGCACTGTTGGAGGCAATACAACGCCTTGATAAATGCGCAGTGCGTAACTCCGTCGCCGCTGCCACACCTGACAGTCAGGAGGAGCCTCAGTGCTGGTAGATACAGGTTTGCCAGAGAGGATTGGGCCGTCTCGTCACTCTCGTCTGCCGGAGCAAGCCCAAACGCGACGTCTCCCGGCAACTCGCGACTCAGATCCCGGAACGAGGTTCCAAGGGCGTGTAGCAAGTGCGGTTTCGCGTCTGTCGAGTTGAGCGATCGTTGTTTTATATGAAATAGATAAACAATTCTTCGTCGGTAACCGACACGCCGAGGCGGGCCAAGTGGTGCCTAAGGATGGTGGTGTGTTGTATTCCGAGGCAGGTATTAGTCCGAGTGGAAGAGGGCGTGTTCTGTTATTTCGTGGTAGACATTACTCTCCACATCTCATTCCGGTGTAGCCGGAAAACGGCTCCAATGCTGCTTTTTAACCCCACCGCAAACAACTGAAAGATGCCGTAGGATTTCGCACAGGTCATGTGCTGCAGTTGATGAGCTAGACTTCGTGTTGTGAGGGCAAGTACTGGTAGAAGCATGACCAGATGATAGGTTTGCTCTGTTCTATTTTCTGATTTTTCACTTGTTGATGCGGTCATCGTTCACTCTCCGGGCCGATCATCTGCAGAAGGGTTCGCGTATTTTTCGCCCGCAGGCCAGCTCGTCGTTGTTGTACGCATTTGTCTCAACCACGGGAGGTGGTCAACTTGGGTTGCAACGCGTAATACCTGCGTCCATGGTGTTGTCCTCCCTTTTTGAATACGTCAGTATGCCCGACCCTATCCACCCCAGGCCGTTGGCGGCGGAGAGCAGCGCTTGGTCTGCAATGCGGAGAGCGTCAAGCGCCTCAGAGACCAGCAGCAGGGTCTGCCTCCGGTCGCCCTCCCCGCTCACGAGGCTCTGCTGCTGTCGAATCTAAGGCAACGTGGTTCAGCACGGTATACATGGCAGTGAGAGAGAAACGCCTCTGGTAGTGATTTCGCGACAAGATGATGTTCGACATCCCAGTCCTGCACGATGCTGGGCTCTTGACTACCGAAAGGGTCATAACTGTACTTGCAACATTCAATCCCGCCCGCTCTTGCTCTTAGGCACATTGGTAAGCGCCCACCCCACTTATCCAACATTCCTGTGAGCATGACAGAGACTCAGGATAAGTTTCGATCTGACATGAGGATAATACGGTAGGTGGCTTACCTTCGCCATGAGTCGTAACACAGCGGCTAGGTCGACCGCGGACGTCGAGGGATCGTTGATGTAGTCGGCGGCGAGGGCCTGGCAATCCGACACCGCTTGTTCCAAGTTGCCTTCTGCCACCGCAGCCTGGTCACGTTTTTCACAAGTGAGATCGGTGGATAGTCTGGGAATCGGTGTGGTTAATCTAAACAGTCCTTTCAAGTTGTAAACGGTACCATCCGATCATCTTTCAAGTTGTGAACGGTACCATCCGATCATCGTTCTTTCACGTGTTATATCCGCACCGTGCAACGATCAGTCGCACACAAACCCGACCATGCACACACCTGTGCGCCAAGTCGGCGTAAGCGGTTTGATATCACGCCCTCGCCCACCGCATGTGCTTCGTCCAGCCCCCTTTGGATCTGAAACATGGCATCCATGGTGCGTCCCTACGACCCAGGTACATAACGATGCAACAGAGTGAGAATGTTCTCTGTTCGCAAGCCTGAAACCCGACATCAAACGATCGGTGAGAAATGCTAACGGAAGACAGAGCCAGAGTATTCTACAGGTTCAATCGAATATTATCCGGTCTATTCGCATGGTGCAGATTCCGTGTTCTATTTTCCATGCTCCTACGCTGTGCTTAGGTCCCTCTTTGCCCAGTTCGCCCATTGCGATTTCACAACTATGGGATTTTTTGCACAAACCAAGCTGTGGGGTACGCGCATGAATAGAAGGAGCGCCGAGAGTGCAAGAATGCGTCCCTGTGAGGCATGAAAGAAGACCATCCCTCCCAATGGCCAGAATGAGTAGAGCACGGATTTTCAGTACGTAAACGAACAGAGCGTCTCAGCCGTTTGGAATACTGCTTTGCGGACTGCCATGCCTAAGCCGTCAGTCTAAGTCGTCAGTTCTGGGCTTCCCCGGATCAGGAATACCTGCAATAGAGCCACAGCGGCAAGATCATGGCGCAGCTCGAGCCATGTCTGGATAACTCTCCACGGCTGTCTCTGCTCGTCGTCGAACATCACCCTTGAATGGCCCCCGCTCTTCATGGTCATCCCGTGCTGAACACTGCCGTCAGTGTTGTCGTTATCGCCGTATTTTCTTCCACTGCTCAAGCTACTCGCGCCAGTGGTGAGCTTGCCCATCAATACCGTTGCACCATTTCCAGGATGTGGAGGGAAATGCTTCCCACCCTTCCCACCAAGGCCATGGCGAAGGAGAACAGCCAAGCCACGCGACGCATGGTGCCGGCACACCTGCTCGGAGTTTGACAGATTTAAGCCTTGAGCGTTGAGCTTGAAGGTTACGGTACATGGACGCGTACAACGGCCCCTTTTGGTACCAACAAAACATTGCAGGCGGTGACGGACTTACAACGACGATGGCCCAGCCGAACCCTGTTGTGGCGATTTATAAAGTGCCATCCGCCCGCCATTTGTAAGAAGTTCACAACCTTGTCCTTCACTCCAACACCGCATGTTCGTTGTACGGTTTACCGTGCTCGAGGGATGCAGCACTTTATATGTCATCGATATGCCTGCGTACAAGTCGATCGGTACAACAGCGTGCAGGGGATGAAAACTGACCACCTCCACCCGACCTACCCTGAACTTTCCGTCAAGCAGAGCAAGTCTCCCCCTCATTAGCAGGGCATCCGCAGCCAATGGGGGGGCCCACCCATCCGGCTGGTCCGGCGCTGTTGCCGCCATGTGTGCCGCCTCTATCGCGGCCCTTTTCTCGCTATCCACCCCGTCTGGGTGCACCGACAGAGATGACTCTTGCGTTGCGGCAGATTTCCCCGAGCGGCCGGTGTCGAGGGGGGTAGTTGGCGTCGGGATGGCCTCGGGAGAGATGCGCTTGAAGGTTACCTGAATAACCCATTTGAGTACGAGTTCGATAAGTCGTAGACACGTGGACTACACGACACACCTAAGAATCAGTTGTGAGTGAAGAGGTGCTTGGACTACTGGTCGGGGACGGCCGAACGATTGCCTCAATCATGTCAGCGCCACGAGTGATGACTGACACACACGACACGTCCATGTTTCTCGGGGAAATCGAGTTGACATGAATACTAAGGGTAAAGGCGACCTGAAAAAGAATTTACCGGCATTGAAGAGAGTGAAAGCAGTATGAATCGACTCTTGTGTCCCAGGGGGGCATCTGGTAGCACATGGGGCGGATGAGTTTGTAAATCGGACTGGTGTTGCCATCTTGAAAGATGTGTAGGAATGTGCGGGTCTGGGACTTCTACGGTGGAAGAGAGGAAAATCATCAACACATACCACGGTAAGAATAAGAATTGAATAGGCGTGGACTACGCATTCAATCATCTGAGTGTATTTTTCCCCTTCATCTACTTCGCTCTGCGGCAGGATGTTGTAGCGTTCCGTGGCTGTGTATTCTTCGTCAAACCAAGTATTGTCTGGAGTGCAAACGACTCGAATTATACTGCAGACATACATATATGCACGATGAAAGCTTAGTCAAAAGGGGTGCGTTGACGATACCTGGAGAACTTCACCGAGAATGCTGTCTGCAGCATCCCGTACGCGCTTCAATACGTCAGCATCGCCTTCCCCTTCTCTTGCATCTGATCTTCCTTCTCCATCTTCGGATGGCAACATGGCGCTGCAGTCCGCCAGGGCCAAGAGCAGACGCGCTCGCGCACGAGCCACTAAACAAGCTTCATTCTCCCCTCGCAATTCCTCCAAGGTGGGATTGGCGCCGAACAGTCCACGCTTCAGCAGACGAACATGCCTGGGCAGATTTATCGAGCATATATTACCGGTCTCATCTGGTGGAATGTCCGCTGACATTCGTGCCCGAGGGGAACCTATTTTTCAGGCGCTCCGAAGTTGTTTGCAATAGCACCCAGAGGGTGACGTAAAACGGAAACACTAACGTTTGAGAAAAGGCACTGCAGATTCATCGGGCCGATGCCTCGTTGTCGCCTACTTCAGGAGAACGGGATTCGTAAAACTGGATGCAAATGTTTCAGGAGCCCGAAAGACATCTGTAGGGCTGTGTTGTTGAGGCACCATGAGTAGTACGGCAATTTAGAGGCATTGTGCATGACCGCAATTTGGTCAGCAGAATCGTTGACTGCGTACGTACCTGGAAGGTTCCCTCGATGCCCCAGAAACACCGTTGTCCCCCGTGGCATCCGCAGTATCATCGGCACCGATTCCAGGAAGCTCGCCCATGAGCCATGAGACCGCGAGTGCGTTGTCGGGATGGCCGAGGGGCAGACTATTCTGGAACGGAGCGAACCCATAGAATGGGAGGCCAGACTTGGCCATCTGTTCAACGATAAAGAAGGGGAACATTTGAAGAGCGTGATTTTCGGCGGAGCCCGATGACTCTTGGCAGATGAGAGGACCAAACATGGATAATCACCAACCCATCTCACCAACGGAGTGTCCTAAACTAACTCCAAGACAGGCTCAATCTACAACGGAGGCCGTGTGGTGCGCAAGCGAGGCTATGCGATTCGCCTGGGCAACTCTCCACGCCTGCGAAGTGCGGGACAACACATCCACACTTGTTTTCGTTTTGACGGCGTTCGACGGTATGCAGCCTTAATTTTCTGATACTGTTTCACAGCAAAATGTGTGCGCTGCTGCTCTGAGTTGTTGATTTGTCCTGGAATGTGCAGAAACTCACGCAACCTTCGCAGACGCGACACCAAGGGCAGCTCGGGATAGGGGAAACATATGCAATGCACCTTTGATATAGTGCACCCGGGATGAACACCTGCCGCAGATATTGAACCAGATCAACATGAAATTTCTACTTGAAGTACAACGCCTAGAACACCCACATCTCTGGGATCACGAGCCCGGCCACCATCAGCGCCATCGGACACCCCGCTATCCTTCTCCACGGTAGAATTTGCAGCTGATTTTCCACCGCCCTTTCCTTTGGCACCCCCTCCTTTTTTCGCTTTCCCTTTTCCTGCCACGGGTGTTTCTGCTTCCGCGGGGGCGGCAGGGGGGTCCTTTGAAGAGTTCGCATTGTCCCTTCGGGTTTCGCACACAACATTTCGAACGTGTGAGGGAATAGACAAGGCATAGGGTTGGATGTTTTGTTCGAGACTGATTGTTGTGTGGTAGGCACGGGATGAGAGGACCTTCTCTGCACAGGGGAGAGGTGTGTATTCAGCCTCTTGCGGGAAAAAATTCACACGGTTTTCAGAATATGTTTTCTCCGTTGTGACCTCGGATCGGATCTTCGGTGTTACGGCAGGCATCACGGCGTGGGTAAGAGTGCGAGCGACCCCTATCTCTTGTTGATTCAACTTGCTCGTCTACTGCCTTTGGCCATCGTTCCCACTAATGGCAACTCCTTCATGGGGCGGGTCTTCGATCTATACAGCAGGTCTTCGATCAATACAGCATCGAGAAGATTTCTTACAGCTCAATTTTTCAGCAACCGATTCAAACCACTCGAACGATTTCCCAAACGAGTTACGGGGGGATTCGGACCAATGCCCCCATGTTTCGAGGACATCGCCAGACCACGCGGGGGCAGTCCCACCAAAGAAGATAAATCTGTTGGGCCTGCTCTGTGCGCAATCTATTATGGTGTTTGTTTTTCGTGTCGCCTACGCCGTCAACCCGGCTCCATAATTTGGCGCAAAGTTGGTGCGGGCGCGCCCTACTGTCCTCAACCAACACAGAATGGTGTTCCTTCTTCCCAGATGGCATGTGGTCGCTTTCACTCAAAGTGAACCATGCACATTTGCCGCAACCAAACCTGGGGGGCTTGGGGGGTTGGAGATTCGCGATGTCCGACCTAGTAAGCCGATATTCAATATCCAAAAACGTACGGTTTGGTGGACTCGACTTGAAAAATGCGAAACATTGAGATGGAAAAAGACAGTCTGAAGCGGTCCGATAGAGGAACGGTCACTCTCACGAGATACCTGCGACCGGCGTAGCCGGCTGTGGTTTTAGGCGTGCTCCCCCCAGAAAGCACGGCCGCTAGCGCCGATGCAGCCTCCGCCGGAAACCCGGCCTCAGCGAGGCACTCCACCCGCGCCAGCTGCACCCGGACGAGCTGGAGAGGATCTAACGTGACCTTTGATGCAACCTTGAATGCCAGAAAGAACGAAGTTGGAGAAGGCTGGATTCGGCGAGAACAGGTATCATGTACCGCGGAACGGGGTGGTAGACTTGGAACGATTTGGATAGGCCACCGGCTAAGTGGTGGTCGTGACGGGGTTTGGCGAAATTATGTAACCGGGACAGAGGGCTGGTACATGCTTGTGCAACAAATCTGCTGCTGCGTTGTACGCGGGAAATTTCGCAGGGCCCTATACCATGTTCTATCCCTTTCCAATACGCTTGGTTGTAGGACTTGAACATGCTCCGTGTAGGAGGGTGTTAACACCTAGAATTTGACCCTCAAACCTTGCGGTACAGAGAAAGCCTTCTTGCAGAGCCTGCCACTTGGATGGTTTCTCACATGCTCCAGGACCGCCTGAACCGGGAACGCTTCCTCATAGCATCCGGCCGCCATCAGAACACCTTGGACGTGCATCAGAGACAGAGACAGGGACGACACCGACAATCTCCTGTCGTCTAGCCACAGTCCAAGACTCTCCAGGCCAGGTCCTCCAAGGCTTTCCGGCGTAAAGGAGGCGTAGTCGCATTCCCTCTGCGTAGTAAATTAAGAGTGTTCGTTAGTGGGCGGAGGGACTTTGGTTCCAAACCTATGGACTTGCAGATGACGACTCCGAGCAAACTGCACGGCGAATTTGTCGTATTTAGCGAGCGGGCTGGGTATTGGGAGGAATCCGGAAAATCCGATACGTCGGGCTCACCCTGCCCACACTCACCTGAGGGTATGGGAGTGAAATCTCCATAGGTGCTCGAAACATCTCCGCTGCCATGAGGCACAGGTTCAACTGCCCGCGCATATCGTTCTGCCAGAAAAGTTATTTCCAAATAGCACATGATACATGACGAGGGGGGCACGCCATTGTTGTTGATCTGGTTGTATATACTTTATGGCGAAGGTGCTAGCCGAGCTGCGAGGCAAGAATTGATTTGGCGTTTGTGTCGGTAGAATACCGAGTGGCGTAGAGAGAGAAAGTACATGGCTTCGAGTGCGGCGGGAGGTCGTGCACATGCACACTTCACGGTGTTTTCGAGATTAGAACGCTGCATCCCACAGAAACCCCATCAATGTTCCGAATGAATTGCGCCTGCGGATAAACCACTGTCGAATTTCTCGGCGAACGATTTCTTGCGCCAAGCAAAGCTTCCGTTGTGTATGCTTTAAATGATATATGGTGTGAAAATGAAACATTTAGTGCTAGCCCTGGGTTGGACTCCCGCATAGAACGCACCACACGATTCCAACGGTTCTTTTAGTATGGACGATTTCGTCAATGCGGTTGTGTTCTATTACGATAGGGCATTGTCGTTGGTCCGTATCCTAGAACTAATCGTCTGGTAAGCCTACCTGCCCTGTGAACCTGCTGAGCTTTCCGAGGAGGGTGCCACCCGCGATACAGCTCCACCGACCGAGCGCCAGGGCCAGAGATCCCCCGCCCCCAGGCGGCCCTCCCGACGAGGGGTGAGCAGCACGCAATGTTGTGAATATTGATCGCCAGTGCTTGGTGGAGTCCTGCTCGGAGCATTTTGTTTCGAGAAGTAGGCAGCGTTTAATTCCATCCGTCCCACTACGTCATGCTCATCATAGCGTTTTTATGTTACCTGGCGGAGAGGGGGTGAAAGCGAGCGAGCATTACTTTTGGAAGTAGCGTGCCTGCGATCTGAGGTGAAAGCGCAAGAGTAACGAAGACATTAGCATCGACTTGCACTCACCAGAGCTGAGCACAGACTGTCGATAGCATCCATCCAACTTTTAGAGGCTGAGTCGTAGTGTCCTCCCAGCGCCTGTGTTCATCACACATCAAGAGGTGGAACGCAAAAATTGGGTGGTCATGCATGTGGCCAGCATAGGTCCACAAAACGCTCAACACATATTCAATCAACTAAGTCAATGAAGGAAACACTATCTGGTGCTTCATATGTCCGCACGTGCAGGTCTCCCATGTCGCACAGGGCCTCTGTCAGGAGTTCCCTCTCCCGCTTGTCCCTCAGCACGCCCACAGCTCGTCGATAAACCTTCAAGACAGCGCTCTCAGACTTTTCGACCAAGCCAAAGTCCGGTGTACCCCCGACACCGTCGCCACCACAGAGGCCATTATCCGTTGGAGGGATGTTCCCTGTGGGGTATGGCGCAAGCAGCAAATGATGGCCAATATTATTTCTTCCTAGAAGCTTCCCGTTTCTTGACCGCTTACAAGATAAGAGAGACAAGTGGTTGGATAGTCATGATGAAATTCGATGTTCTGCTTGGAAGGTTATTGGACGATAAACGAAACATGTGGCATATCAAAATGCGGCTGTCATTGAGTCCCTCGATACTGTCCTTGCTGCAGGTGCACTAATGTGATGACAACGGATTCACCGCAACAACCGTCTTCTGGGTCTCACCGTTAGCTAGTTCTTCACCAAGAACATGTCCGTCGCCGACCGTGGGAGATTCTGATGTTGCCAATGGCGACGGTGTCGGAGACAGTAGAGCGAGGTGTTTCGCGAGGGTTTCTCTCGCGTCATCTAGAGTACGGCGACCGATCCTGTATATCACCAAGGAGGTCAGTCGGGGAAGAGAGGGCAGGAGAGAAGAGGATTTGAGGCTAGGAGTAAGGGACACAGTCGGACCCTCCACCCGGGAAACGTCGCTGTAGAGAGTTCTCTGGACAACGTTCGAACCAACAAAGTTCACTCGTTGTCGGGTGGATTTTAGAACCTACTGGGAGATATGACGTTCGTCATTCCCATTATCATACAACCGTTTCGAGCCTGCTTCTAAGCCCTCGTATATGGGCGGATAGAGCATGCTGTTCCACCTGTGTCAAATCTTGTGCTTCACACGCTGGCGAATATCATGCCCCACCACCTACGGAGAATATCATCTGTGGGACGTTGCTATGGCTGTTCAGTGTTCGCTCACTCTTTGGTTTTAACGTAGTTGTCCCGCGACTGAAGTAGCGTGCCAAGGCGGTGGTCGTGAATCTGCTTTCGTACCCTCGCGTCCCCAACATCCTCGACCAGCGGCTCTCTAGCTCGCTCGTGCTCTATTTCCTCCTTACTCTTTGTTTCCAGTGCTTTCAGCACCTGGGTAGAACGATCGATGCGTTGCGAGGGCCGTTGGTCATACATGGTGGAAGAATTAAATGATGTTGCCCCGCTTCGGCGTTTCGTACTCGCTCTTCGATTCACAAGTTATGTCTTCCCTTAGAATCTAGGGTGCTTTTCGTGTGACCGACGACTCCAAGATGAGGGAACGAGGTCGAAAATATCAATTTATTCGAGCTATTTTACGCCATAAGAGGCTGCCGCATATGAAAATTGCTAATGTAATGTTCATTCCTAGGGCAGAGGCCAAAGGCTTCGCGCTTTGTGGATGCCCGTGGCCGCAGTGATTCGTAAGTCGCATGACACGCGTGACATACCTTTCGGCGTCGGCGCTTGGCCTGTGCTTCCTGAAATTTCTCGTCGATCGCTTCAAGGCGCGCCTGCCTCATGGAAAGAAGTCTATCCGCCAGAGAACAAAGCTGTTTCTGCGCGTGCAAGACGAGTGGGTACACCCTGTTCCCGCCGTATAGACCCCCGGTGGACGCCAAAAGCCTGCTCCCGACCTAGTGAGTTCGTGGCAGGTCAACTAGGGGTCAGGATCAGATGGTAGTTCTGGTCTAGTTTGGTAGCGCCAGATGTTGGCGGACTTCCTCAGACCTGCCAGCTTGGCCGCCATGGCGTACTGCATTCAATATACGAAAGACGCTCTGCCGCGGACCGGCTGGGACATGACCATTCGGTATTCCTGCGGCTTCGAAGAGATTTGAAGGACATGCCAGCCAATGAGCATAGAAATAATGCAGTCCGCTAGACTAACGATCCGAGTACCAGAGAGAAAACTATTTTGACCTTTTTCGTGCCTGTCGCTCCATCACTACTGTAGTTGGAGGACAGCTTCAGCTGGCCGAAACCGAAAGTAGTACAATACAATTTCAGCACGACCATGGCAACTAGGAGCGCAGCGTGTGATGAATCGACACATCGTCCAGTTTGAGGAACGACGCAACGTGTGATCCAAGGGGTCGTTGTCCACGCAAAGGAGAGAGAGCGAAAATCGCCGGTTCCCGAATTATATGCGTAGAAACACGTCCACGCAATATCAACGTGTCACCTTGACGACTACTCCCCAGCAGCGGCACCGGAGGATCCCTTGTAGCCCCCACTCTACAAACCTCGAAACCCAGCGGCTATCCACAGGCATGGGCAAGTCGGAAGAAGCTTGGGCTGACTCCCCAGCCTTGATGTTGGACACATTTGAGTTGAACATAGAAATAGCGCACGACGGGGTGACGAAGGTGGCGAATAAAGAACGGTGCCTATGACCTTCCCGTGCACTACAAGGGCCGTTCCAAATCCCGAAAAATGTTTTTCTTGTGTGCCACGGTCCATAGCTCTGCGTCCTGAGGTTAGTTCATACTTCGATACACTCACCTCGACCTACACGCCTAGCCTCTAGTCGAGCTGTAAGAGAAGGAAAGTGCTCATCAAGCTCCTCGTCGATAGTCAGCGCAAGAGGAACGGCTTCACACATCGGCAAGATCCGACCAGTTCATTTCGCTCTGGTGGCGACTTCTGATCAGTCTCACCAAAACTTTCATTCTCACATCCAAGCTGCCTGAGATGCTTCCGCTACAACCATGCCATGTCTTGTCCATAGCCTTTCATCTTGGTAAGCTAAGGTCAGAATGAAGAATGCGTACTATATCTCCACGACCACTAAATGAAACGAGTCACACCCAACCAATCACGCTCTGTAGGGTTCACAACAACGACGAGCTGTGCATGCACAGTATTTTTTAGTGCAAAGTAATGAACGACACGCCAGCGGAGACCCGTGTGTTGATGCGAATGTCTATGTATCCGCATCGGTGCCTGTGATTCTGACTCTTGATTCGACCAGGGTGGACCCTTTGCTAGAGCGAGCTGAAAATGGCCACGCCTTTCACTGGACACACTTCCCGCAACCGCTAGCCTCCTACCTTCAAACCGACCCCTCCTTCGTGTTCAGAGCTGTCCTCGACGGTGCTCTCCTGGCTCGACCCTCCATTTGACCCTGCTTCCCTTCGGCCACCACCACGGTCAATACCATGGGCTGCATCCACCGCATCAAGCAAGGCCTGCATCATGGCATTTATTTGGGCATGACACATCAACACGATGTGGTCAGCGTTTCAGATGTAGGCCCGGGTTTTCCATGAGTACAAAGGAACGAAGCGAGTAGGCCAGGGGCCCCAGGGCATGTAAAAAGGTCGGACGGTTGTTCCGAAACACCTGAAGCCGGGCCGGCACGTGAGCATCCAGAAGCGCACCCGTCTGACGTTCACGCAGTCAAGTGCCGAAGACGAAGTTTCACGATTCGCGAAGACGAGCTTTTTGCTCTGACTAGGAAATCGGATCTGATAACTAAACCGACATTCCTACGGCACATGCCATGTTGCCCCACAGCCGTTGCAGGGTCTCTCAATAACAAAGACTGCGAGCTCTCGACCAACGCCCTCCTCGCTTTGACCCTCGCGTAACTCACCTCGCATGCCTTCGCGTAGATACGGCCATGGTGTTCACCCAGTGGGAGGCCCCACCCAACGCAAATCTCTGCGCTTTCCGTCGATCGAAAGTCATGCGGCGATAGCCAGAGCGCGAGGATGGCGTTCCACAACAGCCCACACGACCTCTCGGTCTACGAACGAACGGCCACGAACTATTGTGTTGGTGTCGTCGGGTGGTGACTAAATCACTGTGTGTCCGCTGGAGGATGGTGCGTCGACAATATCGACCATGTTCCCTCCGCCGCTGAGACCATTTCACAGCATCAGCGCCCCTTGCTGGTAACAAAGGAACCTCTTTCTTGCTAATGGGGTGTAGCTGCGTATGTTCCGCATAGATTCTCACCGTTTCGCACCTACGCCGGATAACGGTTTGTATCGTTCGAGAACAGGCCTCCCCACCGCACTGTGCTAATGGTACCCAAGCTCCGTGGCGGCCGGCAGACGATCGTTTGTGCATGGGTTGGTGCTCATGGCGGTCAACAAGCCCACGTTCGCACGCATCGAAAAATTGGTTTTGGTTTTCTCTTGGTCTGTGCTCTTCTTACCTTGGACCACGATTGCGCGCGCCGCGCTCGACTTGCCGCCTTGGTCAGGTGTAGCATCGCCATCGAGAAAAAAACGGCGAACGCGTCCCCATCAACGATTTTTCCGTCTTCATGATCACCATTGCCGCCGGCGCTCTTTCCTTCGTTGTTGTTTTCGTTGATGACTGCCCCTTTGACGGCCGAAACCGCTTGACTTTTGCTCGGCCACGGCGTCCCGTCGTCCTATTGTTGACAAACCAGCGGGCGTATTCAGAATGGCAGAGTGCAAGCGTCCAGTATGGTGAGACACATATCGTGCTCGGTCCAGAACAGAGAGGCAGGTGTACCAGGATCGAGTATAGTTGACGCAAAGCAAGCATCGCAGGATTCGCCCATGACCGTTTCGAGATCCTGCGCAATCGTCATCCTCAATCTCACCTCGAGCTGCGAGATGATGTCCTCTTCGTCTCTACCATTATCAACACCTCTATCGCCACCCCCGTCACCACTTGTTTCCCTGCCGCCACCTCCCCCGTCAACAACAAGTCCCTTTTTCGACGCGAAGACTTCGGCGAACGGCCCGGTCCCATAACCCCACGGGAGTCGCCCGCCCCCCGCGGCCGCAGACACTTCCTTGACGGTTGGCCTGGAAGCCTCAAATGGTGGCGGCGCTGTTAATACCCCTGCTACACCTGCAGGTATCGACGATACAGGGTTCGCTGCTATCGCTCCAGCATTGGCAGCGGGCTGTGGCTGGAGCGAAGGAACCTGACCGTTGGGAGTAGGTCGACCGGTCGCCAGCTTGCTAGCACGCACAGTAGCGGCGGCGGCGAGGCCCAGCTGTAAGCAAGCGGCTCCGAGAATGTGTTCCACCTCCGCCAGCCTCAGGAGCTGTTCGGACTCCGCTGCCGAGGCAGCGAACGTCAGGGCGTCCATACATTCATCTCCCTCGCCCTGGTGGGGATAATGGACTTGTGAGGGGCGATGAAATACTTCTAGTCTGGATGGGACAGTTCTCGTGTCCATTCAACGAATGGCGGTGTGCTACGGTATGGCGGGGCTGTCGGGCGTCTGGCTGATAGTGCGAAGAGGTCAGCGGGACAGGCAAGCCTTATCTTGAAGATCTAGGGTAGGGTGCTGAGCGCTTGTCGCCGTTCTTCATGGTGATTAGGTTCGTCAGGCTTACAACTATTCTGTTCGAGATGGCAGGGGACTCTTGGTGACGTTTGATGTACTTGTCTGCTAAAGCATGGCTTCGAGGTTTCCACACAGGCAACCGGCGACGTTGTGCAACTCGAGATGCTTGTGCAGACTTAGTGGTCGCCTCATGAAGTGCCACCAGATCTTTCCGTGTTTCAAGAAAATAGTGGTTGCGTGTGTTGGTGAATTCTCGTCTCTACCATGATTCACTCTCTCCCTGCCTCTTTCTCTATCTCTCTGCCTCTGTCTCTCTCTTCCATTCTTTCTAGAAGCTATACCGTAACAAGAAGGCATGTCGAGCTGATCTAACTCACTCGCGTGTTACTGCTCCGGTCGCTGCAATCGCCTGGGTCGACGTTCGTCCCTCTTCTCTTAGCCTCTGCAGCGTCTCCCTCGTCAGCCACTGCAGCAGCTTCGCCACCCGCGTTGCCTTTGGAATTGTCAGCCCCCCCGTCAATACCTTGTGCGGCTTCTACCGACCCTATTCCCGTGTCTTTGTTTCCAGGGGCTGGCACGATGTACGGCGAGTCCTCGAGACCACCCTCCAGGGCCAGGACCTGACAGATGAGGGTCGTAGGCAGCAGGTGGTATGCCTAAATTAAATGTGTTCTCTGTCTTTCATGTTATTTGTGGCCAGTGGTCTGTTAGGGCGTCCACCAAGTAGAGCGTTATGTCATCCTATCCCCAACCGAAAGATTCACAGCTCTTTTCTCGCTACAAACCAACGAGGTCCAGGAGAAATTTCTGGGACAAGGATTCTTCTTATAGATTCTACCGAGCCCAACAGCATGCCTTCAGGAATTGCCCCTTTGTACGAAAAATAGTACTAACAACACAAGGGTGCAATGCGTGGACGTCTAAGCGGTGCTTCTCGACAAGTTACTTCGGGGCGGAATCAGACACACTAGACGCATAAGTTCCTTCGAGGTGCTACATCGCTAAAGTTGCACCAAGTTCCTTTGTCAAGAGAAATTCGCCCTACACAGTATGGGATACCTTCGCGGCCAAGGGCTTCAGATCAGACTCTGCCACCAAGTGAGCACATCCGCGTTCCCCTGCTTCTGTGCCCCCGGCGGCACGGTCTTCGGGCGTGGTGCCAGCGCCCGTAACGCCCACCACACCAGGGTCCAGCCAGGACACCACCTGATGGTCGGTTTCGCACTCATGTTTGTAGCGTTCCAAAAATGTGCCGCATTCGAAGTGATCATTTTGGGCAAAGAACCGCGAATGTACGACGACGGGCTCACTGGGCAAGGTTGAGTCGTAGGTTGTGATGAAGCGCTGTAACACAAAGAACACGCACCGGCAACATGTTTGGGAATCTTCTCCGTGTTGACATGGCGAGACAGAGCCTCAGCAAGCAATTTGTTTTTTCTGCGGGTGTATCTTAGCCGGAACTACTCATGGTACCTGCTGGGCCATTCCTCTGTCGAGAGCAATCCAGCACACCCTGCACAGTAATCGCGCTCGATCGGGGTGAGAAGTAAACCTTTCCCCCTGCAGGAGTTCCCACGCCTTTGCAGGGTTCTTGTGAGCGCATGACATCACCTGTTCGACAGCCTGAGATGCCAAAGAGTCAAAGCATACGCAAAGGAATGTCGAGACTTTTGACGGGGAAAGGGAGAACGCGTAAAAAAATATCAAATTCCTCGTGGGTCTGAGGTAGGAGAGTGCGTGTGGTTGTTGCGGTTGGGAATCGGGTTCACGACAATGAATTCATGCGCGGAAACCTTAGAATCTACCATCTTGATCCCTGTTCTCCCTCGAAACTATTCATTACTTCGTATAGTTGAATCCGGGCACTTGTTCCGGGAAAGGAGGACGGGCACGAAAACGGTAACAACCAAAAAAATGCCAGGTACGCGCGTAGGACGAGCAAAGCAGCATTTACAGGATGGATCAATTTCAGTTGGCACCTCGAATCCAATTTGGGGAGAGTTTCACCCGCTGTATCACTGAAGCAGCGCCCAATTCCGTTTAACGTTTGTCCAGTTGACTATTCAAATAGTGTCCCTCCCTCGGAGGTTCCGTCGGGTCTGGGCCCAAGTGACAAGCGGATTCGGGAGGAGCCAAGCACCGCACTTGAGTGAGACCAGGCATGATTCATGCCGTGCTTCTTGGTCTCTTCCGAACAGTTTGTGCGCTTGTCGTTTCTGGGCTTTCGTGTCAACGTCTTGTTGTTCGGGACCGCCAGAGAACATGAAATCACGGAACATGTAGTTTCTGGAATGCTGGTTGCCATTTTCCCCTTGTTGGCCGGAACGGCACCGATCGAAGGCCATGTTTGCACGATTCATCTGGTGTATCATTTCGCCCACGAAGAAGACTTAGGAGCCCTTCAGACAAGGAGCGGGACGGGCGATCGTAAAGAATCTGCCCTGTTTCGAGAGAATTCGACTTCGTTTTGTGCGCCTTCAACGAATGAGTGTGGCTCGTGGCGTACCTCCAGCGAAGAAACCGGGGCAACCACTGCATCCTCCTCCCCCGCGTTCCCAGCCCCTCCCGCCGAAGGGGAAGCACTGGTGGCTGAATCCGGATCCTCAAGGTCGAGCGCTTTCCGCAGCTTGCAAAAATCTGCAGTGGCTCCTCCCGCTTCGCCCCCTGCTGCCATCCCATACCCCTGAAGTCCCATCCATACCTCTAGAAGTGCTGCCTGGGCGGGGGTGCCATTTTTCAACAACAGGTCTCTTGTTTCTCCCTCGGGGGCGCCTCCCTCGTCTTCATCCGCCCCCTCTGCTGCCCCTGCTCCGGGTGCTGTGGGCGAGGATTCCTGTCAAGGTAGAGATGATAAATAGTTATGACTGTTTTGCACTGCGTAGCTCCGATGCATGTTTGTTCCTCCTGCTCAGCTGTTGGCCACCTCGACCAACGGGCGAAATGACTCCCAAGGGCCCCAACCATATGTGGACCATTGCAAGATCTCGATTCACAACGAAACGGATCTGTTTCTACGTGTCACCAACATTCATCCTCAACGTGATGATTGGACGGACTTCTGCGCAAACACGGGGGGCTGTCGCCCTGGGCGCATATCATACGTTTCACACCAGTCTGGTGCCCCCCCGCCCCCGTTCCCCCGGGGATCATGCCACGCTCCGTAGTTTTGAGAATAAGAAATGACGAGACTACATGCTCGGTTTCTTGTGCGCATATTGGTTGTGTTGTGCACAAAGGGCAAGACCGCTCGGTAGGTGGCTGTATAGTTAGAGGGAACGACAGACGTTGAACAACAGCAAGCAACTGACCTTAAACACCACGGCTCCGACCGAAGCGGTGTGATCCCCGTCCGGCCCGTGATCCAGCAGGGTCGTACGTGCTACGAGGTTCTCGCCGATTTCATGTCCCTTGATAGTGATCTGATCAGACAAATGATGACAATGGTTGCACGGACCTTTCGATTTGTGGCGTATGTGGAAAGCCAAAGCGCACGTGCTGCTGGATCGGCGCTCTCTGAGGTCGAAACTGTGGAACGCGTATAGCTGGGAAATCATCGTTCAGGCTTGGTCGGGCAGGAGACCACGATGTATTTGCCAGCATCCATGAAATCGAACGAAACCGACATTATGCCGTGCTATCGCAACAATCTGTTTTTGTTTCGCATCAAAGACTCAGTCGTGCTCGGTAGTACTTTCATTTGACTAGTTTTGATGCAAACCCATTCTCATCCAGCGGACCTCGCTCAGGGGTTGGTGTCTCCGAACTCGACTTCGGAACAGCAGCGTAAGGTTGGTACATCAGGTACATCGTACATAACTCCTCTGAAACGTGTACGTGGTCTAACGGCAGATTCGTGATGTGTTGGCCCTCAGGGTGCTACTGTTAAATGGGCGTAGGAAGCTTCGTTTAGTCCCAACTCTCAAACACCTGGTATGCCAGACACGCAAACGTGCTCTTGATGACGTTGTCCCACCCGTCTCCGCTCGGCACCAAGGACAGGCATTGATGAAGCTGGCACAAAACCTACCAACATGACATGGGGTGCGGGTTACTCGTTCAGTCTTGTCTTTGTTACATCCCTTCCGTTTGATAACACACAGCTTCATCCGTCGTGTTTATCTCGAACTTTGGATCCCTCCTGTTCACTTGCTCGAACTCGGCAACAATGGTGTATCGACGTTTGGAGCATTTCCATTGCAGCAACCATCGCTACCAACAACGATGTTTTAGCTAGGCAGGCAGGCGGGGACATGCCGAAAGAGATCTGGCCAGGATACCGTGCCTGGAAAAGGAGACGGCCCATGGCAGCCACCCGCAAGAGCGGCAGGAGAAGATGGTATGCCTTCCACACCCCGCGCGCCACGAGGTCCCAGTCTTGGAGAAGCACGGCCACTTCGCAGGCTAGGGATAGGCGCTTCAAAGCGACCAAGCGCGCCACCTGGCATGGGAAAGAGTGGACGAACAAAACACAACAGATGTCTTGTGTATGTCCGCGCATGAACACGTTCGCCTATTCTCGCAAGGAGGGACGCCATCGTCGAAGGGGGATGTTTCAAGGGCGTCGAAAACTTGCCAGCCAGTTTTACGTCATCCTGTTCCTCACGCTGCTGAACAGATGGTCACGAGACAACGATTTAACACTGCAACGAAACTGCGCGCTAGCTTTTGATTTTTGAAAAGCTTTTGGTGATGAGGATAGAACGCCCGTTGCAAGCAACCGGTTACCATTCCCTTTAGTCTATTGCAGACCGAATCCCGAAAGAATCCTCCATGAATGCAATCCACTGCCCTAATAATTGGTTGGGCAGAACTGGTGGCCTACCCACGACGATTTCAGATTTTCAGCAGTGCAACTCTGTGTCGCGTAGACCCCTTGCTTCCTTTTCAAAAACATGCTAAGAGTGTTGGGGCCCCCCACCTGTTCCTCGAGTGGGCCGCCACTCCCAGACTTTGCTCTGACCATCGCGTCTTCGTCCGCAGTGCTTACTAACATAAAACAGGACTGCACAAAAGCCTGTACGATTGAGCACGATATTTCAGCAGGGAAGGGTTTGGGTGAGCACATCAGTACTACATACTACATCGACCACGACCACTCGTTGGACATTTGACGAGTGGTGACTGTCTTTTTGACGAATAGTAGGCATCAGCCTATAGGCATCAGCCTACATGCTAGCCAACACCCGAAGTGCACACCGTCCACTTCATTGAACGTACTTTAGCTGTAGGTTCATCCACCGCTCGAAGGCTCTTGAAATACCATGATGGACCGCAGCAGGGAGTTGGGGAAGAGACGAAGCTGTCATCTACCATGCAGTAGTACTTGCTTCGGAAAAATACTGGTGTTTTTCCAACCTGTGTACGAGTACAGCACCTGAAGGACCCCCCTCGGGCATCTGTCCAGGACCTCAGGCTCAAAGGCTTGGCCAACCAAGGGACTGGCCATCCATCCATCGCGAAGGTCAGTAGTCACGGTCCCTCCAATTGTCGGCACGTCCTTTGTGACTGTGGCGCCACTGTTGTCCATCCGCCCGACCACTCCGTAGCGGCCTGCTTTCCTTGCTGAACTTTTGGTCAGAAGGTTGCCCGCAGATAGGGTCATGAGCTCTCGATACACCTCCGTTGCCGCCTAGATTTAAAATTGGCGCACGATTGTGCGAGGAGGGTGAAAAAAAACACAAAACGTTAGACAGTTAGCAGGTAGATAGTGAAAGCCGCTCGTTAGGCTGCGATCACACTCTTGGTTCCCACTCTCACTACACGGCAGACGCGTTTCTTCACCTGAGCGGCAAGAGACGAACACCCGAGGCCAAGCGCCGTCCGTGACAGGTGCGCCCAGCACAGCGGCAGCGGGAGTGGGTTAAGAGTTTCCACCGGGGAGCAGGCCTCGCCGATGCCCTCTCCGATTAGGTTCCCTTGCTCATCAAATGCGGCGACGGCGAACACCTGATATGGAGCGGCATATTACAGCACCACCATTTTTCGTTTTGGGAGATCGTCGGTGGGGGCACTTAGAACAAACTCGCAACCGTACGGGATTGCGTTGTTTCTCGCCCATCTTCCCAAGCAACCGATACAAATCTAAAAGCCCGACGGGTACGATGCTGGGGGTTCGGTAGGGGCGATATCCCAGTCAACCCTCCCGGTAGTTCAGCATGTCGGCCGGACCACTTACGTAGCTCTCATTGGCGACGAGTCCACGGATTGATACGGCGTCGCAAATCCCCGTGCTTTCGTCGAAGGGTATCGGCACTCCCAGCCCTGCATAGTGTGTATTGCTCAACGTGACGCCCGTTCCGGCTCCCTCGGGCTTACCATAGACGCATACCTGCACGTTTGTGGATGGATACGACAAACCAGGCACATAGAAGTGATTTTTCCAGAGTGAGTCTGGTGAAGCAGTCAGAAAACAGTACCAGACAGTGTCGCACCCGATCGTTCCATGCATAGGAACTTGTCCAAACCAAGGCTATCGTGATTAGGAATAAAACCGATCCAAGCTGCCAACCAAGAGTGCTAGTAGTGGCCACGAAAAGGCCACACACAGCAGTTCCAACAATTTGTGTGAATGTCATTGTTGGACGAGACGCGAATAGAGCACTGAACAGTATCTGATTGAATACAACCCCAAAGGAAAAAAGTTGTCTCCCGCTGTCGCCGGCGCCACTTTACATCAAACCACCTGTGATAGGGCACAAGAGAGCGAGCAAAATGTATTATTTGTGCCTTGGTATCCCCAAGACGAAAGAGATGATAACGCGTTCAGAAAAAAAGGTCGACTTACTTTGACTACCCTTCGCGCTTTCGCTGGCGGTCTTGCGGCGTGCCGAGACATCGCCGCAGTAGTAGAAGTGGCGTTGGACAACTTAAGGGTTGTTTCCACCGCGTGGTCGCCGCCGTCTACCCCGCGTCCGTCTTTGCTTCCTGCTGCCTTCCCATGCTGATGCTGGTGCGAAGGAGGAAAGAGCAAGGGTAGTAGCTCAATGGAGTTGTGGGACCTCGAAACAAGAAGAGGGGCGGGAGGAGGCGCGCGGATTGACGCCCTTCTGTTGTTGTTGTTGAGGTCGCTGTTGTTGTTGACGGTCAAACGTTGTTTCGATAGACTCCTCCTGCCGGCTTCGCTGTCGTCCCCACCTGTGTTGGCAGCGGGGATCATTCCGAGAAGAAATTTCTCGGTAGCCTTCGCTTGCCTACAGCACAAGAAGCAGCATCAACAAGAACGGTTGGGTGGTTTAGTCGGGCATGGATACATCGTGATTTTGCCCTAGCGGTGGCGAGAGCTTTCGCCAGACCAACAGCGCTGCCACCCGTCCTCCAGGCCATTCACACATAAAGTGGCAAAAATAATTTCGGACAGGCGGCATCGAGACTGTACGAATTGGGGACGAACACAAGCAGAGGCAATATCATTGGCAACACAAAATTTCGAACCATATCGCGGCCTAGTCATCGTGTTTTGCTGTTGAAAAGCTGCAGTACTCCGTTTTCTTCTTCTTGCCTGAGCAGGCCTGCGGCTTCCGCAATGAGACCTTCTTGTTCTCTCCTGTTTGTCCTTAAACGAGCGATCGTGGCCAGCAACAGCGCTCGGCAGTACGGGTTTCGTCGGAATTCCGACGTGAGCCGTGCCTCAGTTACCGGACAGCTCTCGATCTATTGCCGATTAGTTGGGAACAAGTCGAAAGGGCGGGGACACGGGGGAGATCGGACCCTCCCTCCAGAAACGTGGATAGACTTTCCAAGACAATGGGGGTGTGCCACCCCACAACCGTTCCCAGAACTGCTAAATCACGGGCCGCCCACAATGTGTGCCACCCACATAACGTCCCCTCGAGGAGGGTGGACTGTTTCGAAATATTTGTTCTGGATTTTTCTGCAATGTTGGCCTCCCCGCATTGGAGGAGATCGATCCAGGTCCAACCCTTACCCGGGGCGAACTCACCCAGCTGCACACGTCCCAACGTTCAATGCACTAGCCTCCCTTCCTCCCTTCTTCTTCCCTCATGTTCTAATCCAAAGCAGTGGTCGTCATCATCGGTATGATACTCAGTGTATGGGGGATCAAGGAGAACGTACAAACAATCAGCAGACCGCCTGGACAACAAGCACACAAACCTCTTACCTCGTCGCCCTTCCATGGTCCCAGGCCGTCCTTCCCCTTGGTGGTGGCCGGCGCCGCCGGGGTGAGACAAATCTCGCCGCCCTGCTTGGCCCCCTCGAGAGCTGCGGCAGCCTTGGTGAGCAACGGCCCCGCCCCAGCCGCGCACACAATGGCGTTCGTGCCTGTCAATGCTTTCGTGACGCCCCCGGTACTACCGCCGCTCCCATTTCCCGGGCCTCCTACGTCTACAGGAAGCACGACCGACCAGCCTGCAGCCAGCGACCCTGCCAGGGTGTCGAGCCTCCCATCCGAGTCGCCGAAAGTAACCTAATACACGAAAAAAATGTTTAGTTCGACTATATTCATCACCCGGAGTAGACTCTAGGAAACACCACAGTTCGGCTCACGTCGGGCGATGTGGCCATGGAAAATGTAGGAAGTGGTGTCTTTGTGTCACGTACCTAGGAGACTGCATCAAAATCCGAGAATTGGCAACATCCAGGCCAGGAGGAAAGTCCGGAATGCTCACGCGCGCGATCGTTTTTCTTGGTGCAGCGCCCGGTTTCATGGGCGTGAACGTTTGGAGGTGTGCCGCGTTCGGGGGGTCACACACGCGGCGAGCTGGTGAAAGGAGGAATGCTTACCTTAGAGGTTTTGTTGGGAGACCGTTTTCGTTTCGACGCGTTTCTGTGCGCCGCAAGCCTGGCGGCTGCCTCGGCCTTCTTGTGCTTTGCCAGCTGACAAGCGGTGTCTCGACCCATCAAGAGCTCGACTCGAAACAGAGTGCTTGTAATATCCTGTTGATTGATCAGGGTTCCAATTTCCAAGCACAAGGGGGGCAAACCACAGTGTAGAGCGACATTCGTGGGAAAGGGCGAAGCATGAATGGCGTTGAATGGATGCTGACGTTAGCTCCTCTTGACAGCAGCGAAAATGACAAAGCAGCAGCTCACGCCACCACCCACCGCCACCAACGTACTGGTGCCGTCAAAACCACAGGGTGAGCACCTCCGATCGCGACAAGTATGGGCTAGGTGTGGGATCAAGGTCATTGAAAATGATATCAAGATCTTGTACCAAGCCAAAGACTCTTCTTTACTTCACCTTCACTCAGCTTCGAAGAGCCCCACCTCCACATCGATTCGAAATTTTTGTCGCTGGTGCTTGCAGTTCATGATAGGGTCGGGGCTACGTTGAAACACGCTGCTCGACCTAACAGCTCTAGATCTCGCCAACGCTCTCTTACTGTTGGACGAGAGTACAGATCATAGCCGCCAGCAACATTTCACATGTTTCGCGACATTTTGCGCTCCCTCGCAGCAAAATTGCACTGACCAGCTGTAGCGCTGACAGTTCCTGGAACCCCATGTCCGCCTCCACCTCCCAATCTCCTCGGGCATTACCGCCACCATCACCGCTGTTTCCACGTGTGGTATTGATAGACTCCGCCTCGTTGTGAAACGAAGCGGTCACGGAGGCCCTCGTTAGTGCGCTGCTTCTACGGCTGCTGTTGCTTCTCATGTTGCTGCTGCTGCGGTTGCCGTTGGTGTCCTCGGTGGTCGTCGCATGATGTAGATGGTTGCAGATAACGCCCTTGCGGTGCTTATCGATACTCGCCAGGGCACTCCGTAGTGTCTGCGCGTAACCAGGCCAGCGTGCAAGGTCACACTGATGCTACGTCCTCACAGACGCGCAGCTTGATGTCTGCAGTACGAACACTATTGGTACGCCCAGTAGAGGTCAGCTGAGGGTTGGAGCTACCTCCAGCATCTTGAAATATAGACCTACTACGAGTACGAGAGCAACAACGGCCGTTGGAACTCTCAAACAATCACGCTGGGCGCAAACGCAACCGACAATCGATTAACGGTAGGCCTTTCGTGGGCCATCTCTCGAGGATAGAATGATGCAACGACACATGTTTTCTGCCCTGTCGAACTACCAACATGCGCGGGGGTATGCGCTCTATGTGGGTGAGGGTGGCGGGGATATTTGCCCTTCACATTGGCAAAGCATGTAAGGTCCATTCTGACACGTTTCGCGTATCCCATGTGGGTGTGACAAAAAATCCTCAACACCGTTACACACACCTGACAGGCCTTTCGACGGTCCCCTCGGAAATCGGCCTGCAGGATCGCAAGTCGCAGAGCGACAGTGGCCCGTAGGGACTCATCATCCGCGTTTAACGCCGACAGGCAGGCGCTTATCGTTTCCAGCGAGAGCAGAAGCGCATCCTGCGAGGGTTGATTGAATGCGAGGGGTCAACAATTGGTTTGCCATGGACTTGACGCCACTGACCGCGACTCTCCTTTCGCCCTACGATCAGACATTTTCCTGCCCAAAATTTGCCGCAAGGAGACATCCGAAGCACCTACTACAATAGGTCACGTGTTGGTCGTATTATTTTGGCGTACCAATTATGTACACTATCGTCGGGCTGCAGGTCTGCCCTACTCGTCGGGACAGCCTTGTTTGCGAGATGGCCTGGGTCGTGCCTCGCGACAGCTAAAACTGGCCACAAAGATTCGAGTTCGGTGTTTGTTCGAAATCGGCACGTAGTGCACTTGGCAACAGTTTACAAGTTTTGCGTTGCAATTGCAAACCACGTACCGTGGCACCACATCATGCTAAGGTACGTTCGGTACTTTTTGTCTGAAGAGAGACGAGCCCAAACGACGCCAGCACCGATCGCACTTTGACCACGGTGTTCAACCTCCGAACATTGCTGCTGTGCTCCAACTGCTTCTTTTTAGGGCGCGACCCCTCACCATGAGAGGCAAGTCGATCTCGGCTCCCCCCGGCAAGTCGTCCAGCCCCTCCAGGATGCTGGCCACGTAGGGCTCCCAAAGCGACATCGTCGCGTCAAGGAGAGCCTCTCCTCGACTTTCTAGGAGATGGCGGTAATGACCGACCAACGCCTGGCATTGCGACCCGCCGCCGATTTGGGCGCAGAAGGTTGTGAGCTAGGTTTAAAAGCGATAGACTACAGCGTGGAGGCGGCCCGATGACACGAGTTGCCAGGGGTGCGGGCGTGGCAAGCGAAGGGTAAGGGCCGCAAGGTTGTCCAACATACGAACGTAGGGTTTCGGGGCTTCCAATAGCTTAGCAACTTTGATAGGCCGTATATACGCGGATGAATTCAGAACTGTGCTGAAAAGAGGGTACACAATTCAATACGGTGCCCTATCGACCGATCTACAGTAGGAAATGCACGGGCGTGGGGCGAGGGACGAGTAAATACCTGGTATGCTGGCGTGGAGAAACTGTGACGCTACATATCGCACACGATTGCGGGGGTGAGCTCGCCCGTCGAGGACAACCGTGATGATACGGCCATCACCGTGTACCGTACGTCTTCCTTACCCTTGCAAACGTTTGATGGAATGCAGTACAGGACAACATTGCTCTCGGTGTCACCTTGCGGAGGAGGCCCACCACCGTTAGCATCGGTGTAAGGTTGACTCTGACGCCGACAGTGCCATGTCTTCCCAGGGCAACTTCTACGACCTGTTGGGATGATCAAGTAAACGCGAACCATGACTCGGCCACATGTGACCACCTATTTGAAAAGTTAGAAATACTCGGTTGTGCGAAGCACTGGTTCCACTAGACCGCGCACTTCACAAAGCACGCGTGTGAAGCGACGCTGCACTGTGATGGGCTCAAGCAAGCACTACACTTTCAAGCGACACAAATGGCTCTCGTGTTAACTATTACCAGCTTCTTGTCGGCGTGTGTTGAACACACACCCCCGCAGCGTGATCGTGGTCTCCAAGCATACCACGAGTACAGCTTTCAGCAACAGTATTAGGCTAGGCTTTTGGAAAGGGACGGGCACCCATGGCTTTGTGGAAGTGGCGGGCAAGCATATCGATATTCACACCTCGGCCGGTCGGGTTGCCTTCAGGGGCTCTCGCAGCTCCTCCTCCACACTCATAACCACCGCCCCTTTCGATATCCCACGACCGCTTCCTCCTTCAGCAGCAGCGGGTAAGGCCAGAGAAGCGCCTGAACCTGCTCGTTCCTTTTCGCTGCAGTCTCCACTGTCGCGGGAAACAGAATCCGATGAACACTCGTTTGCCGTTTGGGTGGACGATATCGGTTTCGACGAGCCCTCTCTACTCGCCGGTGGCGTCCGCTTGAGGCCTCCCTTCTCGGCTGGTTTCGGTGGCTCCGGCTTGTCTCTCCACGTCTTCAGGCGCTTGCAGCTGGTCCAAAGAGCGATTTCGAACCTGAAAGCGTGTGTACAAGTTGTGAGATGCGGTACGAGGCACATGGCGGAGACACAATGGTGCTATTGCACTCCGAAAGCACCTATCACCTTGGAACGAGTGCGATGCGGCTACTCTGCAAGATACTCTAGACGCTTTGAATAAATATGGCTGTGGGAAGTATTGCAACGAGTTGATACGGTCGGATGATAGGATGACATCCGAGGGTGTTGTTTCGACCAGCTTAGCAGAATGAAGGGTACAATACCCCGGAGGATTTCTTCATTTATGATATCAAAGATAAGCCAACGAACGGCCACCAGACCAGCGTGCCTCTGAGTCAAACCCACAAACACAAGCAACGTCCGGCCAGATGACTACACAGCAGTAGTTACCGGTGCAAGTTTCACAATAGACGACATTGGTCGTGCATCGTGTGGTAGCATAAGCCCGAGAAGCATCCCATTGTCACGATCTTGCGGCGGATGATATTTTGCAGCCTAGTCTTCAACGCAGAAAATACGTTGCCACCATCCCTCACCAGAATGCCCGACACTCATTCCGCCCGAGGGATCCCAGCGAGGCTTGTCGCAGGCGCTGCTTTGTCGACGGTAGCATCGCCTCCCACGCCTGGAATTCGCCAAGTTGATACATCTCGCGCATAAGCTGCATCTGGTCGGGGGGATATAGCACCGGATGCGCAACACACCAACGGGGTCGTATCACCAAAAGTTGAGGAGACGAGTCAGACAAATGGAGGCACGTGCGGCTGAGGAATGGAATCTAAGGTCCAATAGTGATTGAGATAGTCCAGCCTCACACCTTTGAATGCTACAATACGTTCCCAATGTTGCGCCTACGCGTGTCCGAAAAAACGTACGTTGAGGGGGGCCATATCACCAACTGCCTCTATCAGATTGCTCACCTCTTGGTCGATATGGAGCGGGAATGTCTCATCGCTACCGTTGTCAGTACTCTCATTCTCCTCGCCCGTGAGCAGTTCATCCTTCTTGAGACCGCCCTCCGCGTCATTCGTCACTTCCTCTCCACCCTCCCCCCCCTCGGGAGCAGGCGGCAGCAAGAGCGACACGGCGAGTTTACACGCCAAGGAAGACTCACTAGCGGTCAGCGATCCAGCACTTCCATTGACCGAAGAGCGTCGGTCGCCGGACCCGATGAGTTCCAGCAAAGCCGCTGGTCGTTTCGATACATCGGGGATCTTATCGAACAAACAGGGTGAGGGATAGCGTGAGGGAAGGAAGGTCTGTGAGTCGAGGGGGATGTCATCTCGCCCGCTGGTCTGCATCCGCCAGGACAAAAGGGCTAAACTACGTTTCCAAAGTTGCATGGGAATGAAAAAAATGACATGAGTCGTATGACAGAGGTGTCATGTGTATTAGCGAGCGGGAAAAGCCATATCGTCGTATATCGTCACATCCTCTGGGATCGGACCGCCGTAAGCTGGCCGAAAAGCGGAATGACGAAACTTTATCCCCGGGGCAACCCGTAACTGCAGGTTCCTGCAAGAAACAGTACCGTGCTGTTCCCCTCGATACAATCCTAGACAGTGTTGTGCGAAACAATCACTTCCCGGGGAGAAGTCGAGCATTTTTTGTCACTGATGCTATCGCTGGTTATGCCAACGTCCTGTCCTCAAATCATGGTTGTGGTTGGTGTGACGGTCGTCCAAACCCCAAAGCGATATTGCAAGGAAGTAGGCCATGAAGCACCCGCTGATGCTGAATGCTATTTTCGTTAACTAATCCTCCAAACACTACATCTTTGAGCGGTTTATTGGTTGCAGTTTCACTGTTCGGTTTGGGAGATGTCAACAATACAATTTACAAAATGCAGATGCATTGGCCCCCACTCAAAGCTCACATGCTCGTCTAGCAGTCCGCTGAGGTCCTCCTCGCATAGCCCTCCCTCCACGTTTTCGTCCCCGGTTCCGCCGACGTTATCACCGCCTTCACTAGTTTCCCCGACTGCCGACGACGGTGGTCGTTTGGCAGCCGCGGTGGCCAGGGTGGCGTACTTAAACGTCAGTAGCGTCAGGTCACTCTCCGCGACATCGAGGGTTTCCGTTACATTGGGGGGGATAGGTGGGTCCATCCCCTCCTGACGACGAAGTTCCCTGACCTACGAACCAGGTTGGTGGCGGTTGGGAGCAAGGTAGGGAAGGATTCACTGGGGATCAGGTCATAGTCAAGAGCATGTTGATCAGCAAACATTGCACGCAAAGTACTGTGTTTTTTGCTCAGAATCACTTTTCTGGTTGTACCCTGTCGCCCTGCCAAGAAATTTAAGTTAAGCCATAAATGGATGAGGCTTAGGTTGACTCGTAGAACCGCTCGTGTGTCGTGTTTTGTCATACGTAATTGACCACTGTCCATTTGCCTGCTTTCTTGAGATGAACGTCTGTGACAAGATCTCCTTACTCAGATCCGCCACACCCACGGCGAGCGCATTCTCCGTAGTTGCAGGAACGCAGTAGCAACGCCTTCACCGGCGCGTAGATGACTGCATTGCCTCTGTTCTCTCACAACGTCACAGGTGTCACCACAGGCAGGCGCTTCCGTTTATCTCTCCCTAGACCACTTCTTACTTGATTGTGCAGGTCAAGGGCGTTCCGCTATTCCTCAGGCCCTAATCCTAAGAAAAACGCTGGTGCTGACAATGACTTTAGGCACCAATGCACACGGGTCGAGTACATGCTGGCATCGAATCCCGGACTGAACATTGCGTGAGGTTGAGTACCTTTTGTAATGCGTGGGCGGCGCACTTTGTCGCAGCTGCAGGTTTTCCAGAGTCTTCGAAGGCGTAGCATGTTGCCACTGCCAGCCGGGTCCGCCATGGGAGATGCTGCTCGTTTTCGTCCGTTGGGCGCAACACACGCAGCAAATCCATGACGAAAACGAAGCCATGAACAGGTTTACTTCTTCTGGTACATTTGACTTCAGCAGTGCAAGCAAAGGCTGATACTGAATGGGTCCCCACCATTGGACACGGCATTTTCGCTAGATTATAGCTGTGTCCCAAAGGAAAACTGCACCAAGAAGCAACATGTTGTATTCTAAAGATAGCGAAATTCTTGCAGGGTGGCTGCATGAATCTATCGGGTGCACAGGGGCAACACCAACGAACATGTCTAAACGTGACGTTCACGGAAGCGAAGGTGTGTCGGGCGCTGATTAGGGGGGTGAACATACGGCTACACGTTCAGCGCTTCGCACCAACACCGCAACACAGCTTTCTGAGAATTGCATGCTTGCATCGAACAGATAACCATCCAGGTTATACCTTCACTGTGCTTAGGCTGACCATGGATTCCATCGCGATTGTGCTCCACGCCAGGAACTCCACGACCTCACCACCGTGGCCCAAAGCGGACAACGGCTCGCACCAGTCGAACAGGATAACGCATCCTTCAAGCACCACCCACGACACAGCATCGTGCTCATCCTGAGCGATTAAGTTGGTGCGCACGAACTTGAGTTCGATTATGTGCGCGGGGCAGGTAGGTCGCAACGCCTTTCCCCCATTGCAGAATCTAGCAGAACGGGTATCGTAAACATTCGGCAGTGTTCGAACGGAACCCTTTCTCCGCCTTGGCGATGCTTACCTTGGGCCTGTTGAGCATCAACCGCATCGCGCTCTGAATTCTTCGCAAGTGAGTTGTGACTTTCGTGAGCGTTGCTGCAAACTGCACGTGGGGGTCCCTTGTCAACTCCACGCCTACGTCGAAGAGGTACGGGCACAAGGGGCGAGCTTATGAAGGCTTTCTGCCATGCCCATCGCTGATGGAAAGTTCGGGCGGAGTGTATGCCTCTCATTGGAAAAAAATATTGGTAGGTTCGGGTTCATGGCCTCGCTATTGCTCATGAACACTGGGCAGGATAGGTTACTCTTTGCAGTTCAGGTCATTGACTACGACTGCTTGTGCGAGAGGCACACCGCGGAAATCTGCTTTTTACTTGGCAGCGCGTGCTGCTTTGTGTGAGCCGTTGTAAGAATAAATGCACGTCTCGGATGCTTACGTTACGGCCCCGAAACGATGACGCTTGCATCTTCCGGTCGCCACACAGTAGGCGTCACGAAAAAACTTTCACCAAGAGGAGCTATCCATAGCTACTACCGGCCCGGGGAGCTTGTGCTTTGAGTCTCAGCTACTCACGCAGTTCCATGGACGCAGCGCCAAATTCCGCCCGTGCCATCCAGGACGCCTCATCTTGAGCTAGACATGTTGATTCCGTCTTGGGAGTGGCTCCTTCAGCGACCGGAGGAATCAAGGCGGTTCGCTCGCGCCTGATCCCTTCGCAGCTGTCGACTACGAAGGTGTAAAACTTCCGCGCGCAGTTGAACTCTCCCTGATTTTACCGAGTTTTCGATCCACCAAGACGCAACAAAAGGGGTGTAAAGGAAGGGTATGGAAGGTGATGCAAATGCCATGAAAAACGAAGAAAAGGAAAGAGACGGCGGGGCTCCCCGCCTCCTAGTCGAAGTGCGCAGAACACCAGAATAGAGTTGCACATATCGAAAGCGGTAGGTGTGGCACCACACACGCTCCTACCACAATACAGCCCCAAGAACCTAACGTCACCTCCTGTGCAAGCGCATCGGCGCAGCTGACGCAAAGCCGAAGCGCGTCCTTCATCTCCAGCTTTATGGGCACCCAGTGCAGGAATGTTCGAACACTCTCCGCGAGCGGCCCAAGGCCGCACACTTCGCCGTCCACCACACCTTCCCACTCAGGATCGCGTACAACCTAGAAGGAGGGGGCGGAGCCCCGCGACAGTGGGCAGATGCGCGGGGTGGTTCGGGTTTTTTTCCTACTTGAGCCCTCTCAATCTCTGTCAATATATGTTTCGTTGAGGACCCTTTGCGGGACATGTACCACAAGCCACAAAGCCCTGGTCAGGTAAACTCGACCATCCAGGCCTGTACGCAGAAGGGTGAGGTGCTCTCTTGGTCCCAAAACTGTGTTTCTGATTGCTTGAAGTCTGAAAGCGGGGGTAAGAATAGGAAGTCGAAGCGCCCCTCAATGGATGCCATAAAACATCAACTTGTGTTGCCGTCGGGTGATTCGTGGTCGGGCTCGAAGAGTTGTGAGATGCCCACGTTCATGTCATCAACTGTCCTCCCAGAACAAACAAGCACGCATCCCTCTCAGAAATAGCACTGCATTCGACTATTAATTGTGCAACCGCCTAATGCAGGCTAACCACCAGCGGCTCAGCCTAGGGCGCAATCAAACTGCATTACTATATAAGGGAGATGTCAAAAGTAACCCTGTGAGCAGACAGATATACATAGACTACTGTACAACCGTGCGTGTCTTGCTGTTCAGGTGCGTACTTCACGGTCTACATGTCAACTGAACAGCACCACGGCAAGTGATATGGTATGCACACCAGGTCTTCTTTCAGATGGACACTAATATTTCCAATTGTACGTCCAGGCTGGTGGCCTAAGAGGCTAAACACTGCGATGATACTTGTTGCAGTAGTGCGCCACACAAGATACCATACCCCATGCACCTTGCTCTCGTATCTGGATATCCGCCCAACAGATAGCTAGGCCGACGTACGGACCGGTTTCGATGGTAGGTTACCAATACCGACCTGTTGGACATTGACTTTCTCATGCTGCAAATAAATTGAGTTGGCAATATCGGCCCAGCGGGTAATCACTGCAGGTAACTGGTACGCGAGACAGTACTGCTTTAGAGCAGCCTACGGTGTGGTGCCGAGGGTGATTTCCTCGGCTGCTTTGTACCATTGTAGAAGCTTAACCTCTGTCGTCTGCTGCTGCGTGGGGATACCCACTCGTAGAAAAGGATTGCTAGAACGTCTTGATGGAGGGACGCGGTACGGGAGGCTCGGGCTTCACTATGCACAGGCTAACAGGGAAGCAACATGTTTTCCTCGACTTGCGCATGTGGAGACTGTCAAGGGTCCATTCACATGTAAAACAACCTTGCACGTGGACGACTCCCCAATCGCATGGATCAAAATTGACGAATCTCTCATGGCGTACCCCTATTGTTCCTCTACAGAAGGTGCAACTCCTCACCCCCGGGGCAACGGGCTGGATCGCCAGTATCTCATCCCCTGCCGCGCGCTTCTCGCGCACTGGTCGCAAGATCTTGGACTCGAAGTCCGACGAGAACGAAGCAAGCTGCTCCGACACCGCCATGTCGTGCCCTCGGGAGTCACCACCGCCAGCAACCTTAATCGTTCATGAATTTTTATTGTTTTCTTTCATCACCTTGGCTAGACAGGCTCACGGCGCGTAATCGCCAAGCAAGTGCTCAATGCTCTCTAGGCAGATCTGTCAAAGGGGGGCCGGGTGGGGGCCAGGGGCGCCGTTACACACACACCGGAGAAAAAAGCACGGAGAACCATCTGGAAACCCCATATCTGATTGCGCCGCGTTTTCCCAGGTGCCCGATTTGCCGATGCCTACCACTCGCCTCCTCGCGCTAGGCCTAGAACGGTACTCACAGCTCTTTTCAGGACCACCCGTGCTCAGGTATGTTCACCTTAGTATGGCATGAACAACGCAAACTACATTAAATTCCAGTACAGAGACAAGAGAGAAATATAGGTCCAAAGGCTTTTGGTGGACAAGTGCACAATTTGAAACTGAGACGAAACACAACACCGGCAGAGTACTCACATCTCGAACGCTTTCTGCTGTTCCTGTCGTGCCACACACACCGCCTCTGCCACACACCGCTCTGCGAAATCACAGACTGTTTGCAAAAGGAAAACGCCAACATCACAACTAAGCACACCATTGTCTCGCGTGAAAAATGTGGCGGTGCTGCCTTGATATCTCACCCGGCTCGAACAAGTTGCATGTTGGTTGCACTCTGCCTCACCGCTGCTGGTGTAGTCTCCATATCGCACACCCTGTCTAGCGGCAATCGGCTGAACACGGCGGGGGCTGCTCCCCTCCTACCGTACCTGTACCACCATTTTGGGAGTCTGAATTTTTGCAGCAAGTGTGTTTCTCTACTCGATGGCCACGCAGGGAAGAGTGCCTTCTTTCTGTTGAGGCATTGAGTGTCATACCCAAAAGCACCCCTTATACCTTCAACGAACAGCGCAGGCTAGCAAGAACGACAGCACAATAACGCTGTTGGGTGGCGGCGGCGATAAACAGGAGGACACGCGCGATCCGCATGGAGCCAGGACGGCGTCCCTCCGTCGGCAATGGACACCGCCGCGGGATTGCACCCGAGTCCGAGGCGTTGTTGAGCGTTCTGAGGCCCTACTGCATGTCAGCTGTGATGGCAATGGAAGATCTGCTGGGTTCTGGGCGTAACCTGGTGCGTGTGTGGTGTGTTGGGGCTAACCTGGTTAGGGGAGCGATGGGCTCTAAGCATCGGTGTAGGCTGTTTTTTTTTCACGACACTGAGGGCGCTTTTGTTCTCGTTCTTGTGCGAGGTACATTCTCTTGTGCGGTGCACGACGTCCTCGGTTGCTCTCAGTGTGTGTGGCAAGCAGGGAGGGAGAGAGGCGGAGACAGACAGACAGACAGACAGACAGGACAGAGAGAGAGAGAGAGAGGGGGGGGGGGGGGGGGGGGGG